TTTCCTGCAAGGCCGCCCCTTCCTCCCAGTCTGACCTCTTCAACACTTCATACAGTGAGCACCAAAGCTTCACTAAAAAAAGTGATAAAAGACCGCCAGTTCTTGTGGTTGATAACCATAACCGCTGTAATATTTGGTGTTTATTATGGCTGGGTGTCCATGCTGGATGTTTTCCTGGACAAGTTTCATGTGGATGCTGTCACTGCTGGATGGCTCGACTGTTCATCCATGGTAGCAGGAGTGGCCTCTGGGATAATAGTAGGCAGGTAATATTGAATAAGTCTTGAAAACCGTTACTGATTAGATTAATCCCATCATTAGAGTAAATGACAGAAGAATTGAAGTCATGCTGATGATGAGTTGTCTTCGTGCACAAGATACGTCACTACATTTATACTAAGATGGCCCTTTCCTACCCCAGGCATGGCACCCTACATGCGGCACCCTAAATGTCCGTTCCTCTGGGATGATCCGAATCAGGATAGATGGTCCAAGACCACTTGGGTCATTGCGCATGAAAGAAACCGAATGGCCTAAAGTGGATGGATTCACGGTTCGTTTATTGATTCACCATGATCCAAGTGATTCTGGATCATTGATCCTGATTTGGATCACGCCAAGGAAATGCAGCAAAAATGGAATGGTGTCAAAACCACTTGGATCATGGTACATCAAAGAAAACGAATGAACCAGAGTGGATTCATTGGATCCTTTGATTTGATCCAAGTGATCTTAGATCATTGCTCCTGATCCAGATCATTCCAAAAAGGGAATGCAGCCAAACTGGAATAGTCCCAAGACGATTTAGATCATGCTGCATCAACGAAACTAATGAATGCCCGATCAGTGTGGATTTATTGGTTCCTTTGATTTGATCCGAGTTACGTTGGATCATTGATCCTGGCCCGGATCATCCCAGAGGAATGTACCCTTAGTCGGGCGATCTTACCAGCTTCATCATCATGTTGTGTTGTGAATGTTAGTAGGCTGAATGCTGGGATTCGTCCTCTGATGTATTGGCGTCCCCTATCCAGAGAGGGGTAGCAATGGCAGGGATGACTGCTTGTCGGATGCCCATTGGGCTTAAATGCGGTATTGTCCACCTCTCCTGACCCAGGTGTACAAGTGTGCACTAGTAAATTATGAAAGAGATACCCTAATTCATGGGTCTTACAAGAACAGTTGTTGAAAGTTAAGAAAAAACCGACAACAGCAAACAGCGGGAAGCATAGTGTCTTGATGATTAATGACTCTGACATTGTACCCAGAGGTCTACGTGCAAGTCCTGGGTTTTGTAATTTACCGCCAGTTGTGCTTTTGGGCGAGATGCTTAACCCTTGCAGTGCCTCTATCCTCAAAGCAGCAAGATGTTGTTGCTCGAGGTAATGCTGAGGACCTGCGATGGAGAAGTATTCCTTTCCAGTTAAGTTTGAAACTAAGCATTACTACCAGCTACTTCATGAGTGACACAACCAGAAGCGGTAGCTAAATCTCCTCATTCTGATTCCGAGGATTGGTCTAGACAAGTTTGAAATCTGCTTTTATTTATAGGTGTGCTGACTACGTCCAACACAGAACGAAACAGTTTGTGGTGCTCCTCTTGGTTCTCTCAACAATATCCCAACTGGTTTTTAGTTTATCCTGTGCGGGAATCTTGCCATCCACAAAACCACTTCTTTACAGCTCCATCATCTTTGGTGGCTTTGTCTCCAATGGCACATTGCCTCTGTTGTACGAACTTGCAGTGGAATGCGTCTACCCTATTGGCGGTGGTATCGTTGGTGGTATTATAATTGAGGCGATGACTGTTGTGTTACTGTTCTTCGACATAGCTTTCATGCTGCCTCACTCTGATATTAAGGGAATGAACTGGGTGTTAACATCAGTTTTCGGCTTAGGTGTTATAGGCGTGTTAATTTTTCGAGAAAAGTACACACGCCTTGAGTTAGACACTCAGATGACAACCTAGATCCAAAATTAAATGCTTATTATTACAGTGTAAGCAATAGAACACTTTTTCTGTGTTTGCATAGCCTTCTCTAAATATAAGGTTGGGAGAATTCAAGACTACGTCTCGGGTTTTCATAACTTCAGGGAATTATTCCAAAGTACAAATTATGTCTGTTAATCATAACTTATGGAAATTGTTTGTGTGTAGACAACATCATGAGACAGAGAAAAACACATTGTACCATTAAGGTGGCCGAACACAGTTTTCGCGCGCGCTCATGCTAACGCAATTCAGCGCGCGCACAAGTATTGCATAAAATCAAGCATGGCATCAATACAGCGATCCTTTTATTTGCTCAATGTCCGCGCTGTCTGTACTATTTTTCTTCACAAATGAACACTGTATTGATGGTTTTACTCTTTTATTACAGAGGTATGTTAGAAAGAGTAACGATGCAAAGAAACCAGCAATTCTCAGCTTTTGTTTGTTACCGAAGGAACCCAGTTAAACGCAGCTAGTGCGTAGTAAGTCGAAAAAATTGCGATTGAGTGAAAAATTGACTTTCGGAGATACGCCTATTTCTCGAGAACCACTCATTAGAATTTCACGAAATTTAGAGCGAAAATACTTTAGGAAATAAGTAACTGGAGGATTCAAAAAAATTAAAATTTAACAAAGGAAATTCAAGATATGCCAGTGAACCTTCAACGAGGGATAATTAAAGATCTGTTTGTTAAATTATTATTAAAATAGCGCTAACATGTGAGTATCGTTACAAGCTTGTTGCATGCAAATTATAAAGAAAATCTAATGACTAGATTTTCTGCAAATAAACAAAACCGATTTTAAACGCCTGTTTATAATTAATCATGTTGCCATGGCAACGGCACATACGACAGTTCAATTATCAAAAAGTTGAAGTTTGTGTTGTTAACTTGCTTGCTGCCATTTTTGGCGACCAAAGGATCAAGGGTTTTAGAAGCAAAGGTAAATGAAACAGAGGTATCAAAAACTGTGTTCAGCCACCTTAATTACTGATTAATTACTTATTCAGTCTATATCTATTTTATAATATTGGTCTTATTTATCTATAAAGAACTGCAATAAAATATATTTAGAAAAACTATCAAAGAAGCTAAAAAACCTTAAAAGCTAGAGGACGTTTCGACGTTTTCACAACATCGTTATGAAGTCAAAAAGTTAAGAAATTGCAAATTTTCCCGGGTTCTAGGCCTCCACCCTGGGGCTAGTGGGATTTGTTTCTGGGTAGTTCCGAGTTCAAATCCTGGGTCACGCTATGTAAACAGCCAACTGGTCAGCCTCCTACCAGTTAGGATTCTTAACTATGTTACGTTTATTTGAAACATTTGTTTCAGAGGCATGCCTGTAAACTAGCTAATGCTAAGTGCTTGTATGCGGCTAAGTGCATGACCACTATGAAGGGAGCTGTATTGTAAATTCTACGTTGGGGTGCAGGCCACTGAGGACGATTGAGAGTAGTGAGAAACGCGGAAGCAACGTCAGTGCCAGGCCTTTTAGCTAGGGTATCATCCACGTTCAGTTTGTACAATGTAAACGGCAGGCATCAAACCATCGAGAGAGCGTATCTTCCTGGTGGCACACAAAAATTTGGCCATTTGAGGGCCACACGGCCACACCGTCAATCAGTCTGTTCCTACAATTGATCGTGGAACTGGCCCTCTAACGGCCAATGTCTTTATGTGCCATCTTTCATGGTTCAAATGTCCATGTTCCAGACGTTTTCTGAATAAATAAATTGCATAAGTGCAGCCTTGTTTGCAAGAAAATTATATTTTTATTTTGTATGGCATTTGTATGCACGCTTGCAGGGTCAAATTTAATTCGCTAATTAATTGTATTAATAAAGCTGAAGTGGATGTACAAGAAGACTGATGTGAAAAGAGATCACCTAATAAAAAATGCACATAAGTTAACACGATCAGGCCACTTCTTACCTATCTGCACAAGTTCTCTTATTGAGGCCTGTTAACATTCCCTGTTCACTTAACGATCTCAGGAATCTGACTCAAAATAATTTAGCAGGTGTATAGGTAAGTATCCTCCCTGCTCATAGACAAATGTCACATTAAACGTATTCTTCCCCCATAACGGGCCATCTTAGATTTGTTCTTTAATAGTGATTAGTCCCATTCTAGTTATGTAGCCCTGCAGAAATGCATCAAGTGTTCCAAGTTGTTGCTTGGTTTAAAAAACTCACATGTGAGTTTCCAGAATATATCCATACTCAACCCAACAAGAGTTGTTGCAAATTCCAAGGGGTGGGCGAGTCACAAAGGCCAGCACTTTGATAACTGGATTTTCCAGAGGGTCTGGGGGGTAGGGAAAATCATAAGACCCACCGTAGAAGGGGTATGGATATTTTCTACAACAACACAATGCATAAGTGGATAAAGATTGTGAATTTTGAGTTCGGTAATGAAATGTGAAAGATAAATTGGTCAACGCGGCACAAGCGCGGGACAAAGAAAAAATCTAAGTCGCCGACAGGAATCGAACCTATGACCTCCCGAACACTGGGCGGACGCTCTATCCACTGAATGACCTTGCTCTCCATGAGTTCTCGTAGCTCAGTGGATGGAGCGCCCGCTCGGTGTTCGGGAGGTCATGGGTTCGATTCGTATCTGCAACTTAGTAATTGGTGAAACGTTTGGCTCTTAAATATTCGACGAGAAATTGGCTTTCACAAACCGCAAACTCTCTGGGTGGCAAAAGCGCTAATGAACTCATACATTCCTTTTAAAATTTTAAGTTTTTAAAACCCGCGTTGCACAAAAAGTATTCAATACATTGCACTCAAATTCTTTGAGACAGACAATCGTGCTAATGTTTTTGTAGCTCAGTCAGAAGCTGTATAGCTTATGCTACTGAGGAAAATATTGTAAACAAAGATCCTCCTACACAGATCTCTGTTGATCTATGTCATCAGGATGGAATTGCTCTTCTATTGAAGTTTATAACAACACCAGGCCATTTATTGACGTCTGTTTACCAATGTCATTTTTCAACTGTCCTTTTCTTGCAATGTATTTCTTCGTACAGTAGCCCCTCCCCACCGGGGGGGGGGGGGGTTACTCCACAAAGTAAAAAGAAGAGGGTGCTTGTCAGAAAATTTTCAAAAAAACTCCTAAGAGGTACCCAGACCCTGTTTTGTGGGTGTGGCTTGAAATTGTTTTGACCTCTAAGCGGTACCGATTCTAAACAACGCATTATCTCTCGTCAATGTTGTTTTAGGTATAACAGCGTAAAATGTGTCACAAAAGCTCCCTCTGTGGACCTTCTGAGTGTGAACACCGTAAGAGATACCTATCGAAGTCCCCCCACTGGGGCAGACAATTTGCTCTATTCTTTAGATTTCTGTCCCAAAGAAAGGATCATATCCTGTCATTGTGTGGGAAGAGGTCTCTGAACTGGAGAGAGATCTCTGTCTTGTCAGTTGGATTGGTGTTTGAGCATTTGCTTCTGAGTAAGAAATAGTTCTTTTTCGCGGTGAACCTCGACCTGAACTCTCGGAATTATCATCATCTTCGTAAAATACTTTGACAGCATCACCACTGATATTAAGCAGACACTGACCCTAGGAATACAAACAGTTCAAGGTTAATTTGCAAAAATGGCCTGAGCTAAGAGCTTATAATTTCAACCATAACATCAATATTTAGTGACTTGATACCTAATTTGAACAGAAGCGTTTTGGTTTGAAAAGACACTTTTAGATGCATTTTTGTGTACAGCCCATTCTATAACATCGTAAAAAAATTAATTCATTCAAAAACGTTGTGCAGAATTGAGACATTTGATAAGCGTGGACAGTGAAAATGGAGGTTTCGGGAATACCGGTCGTTTCGCCAACGACCAGTTCGCCAACGTATGAAGTCGTTTCGCCAACGTCTAATGTCAGTTCGCCAACGCTTATAAGTCGTTTTGCCAACGTCCAAAATACTCTGTGAAATAGATCTGAAATATATTTACAACTTACCAAAAGAAGATATCCAAGACGAATGGTTCGTTTTGGCTTGTTAATGTCTGTTTCACTCGCCCCAATCTCTCTCTCTCCCACGCCATTTTGATACGCTGGTCGAGGCTGTATTTCAAAGCCTTCTAAACAATCCACGGATTGTATTTGTTGAGTATGAACCGGCTGTAATACCTTTTTATTAAACATTTGCGTAGTTGGTAATTCGCGTAGTTAAAGAGCCATTGAGTTGAAATATGTTTGTTTGATGACGCGCTTAGAAGCGTTCACTTGTTTCCCGCACTTAGCAGCAAAGTCCGTTAAATGGATTAAAGGCCGTTCGTACTACTGGACAGAGAGGCCAGACTTACAGCCGTAACCATCAGGCTTGTCTCGGATAAGAAACTGAAGCGGGTCCAGCGAAAACGGTATCGGAATTGGCGATGATCAATGAGTAATCGATGAGTACTCGAAGCCGAAAAATTTAGACGTTGGCGAAACGACTTCATACGTTGGCGAACTGACACGTTGGCGAAACGACCGGTTACCGGTTTCGGAATGCTGACATCACTCACATAAAATGCGCATGCGTAAGTGATGGTTGTGTTGTTTTCTCTTAGTGCACCAGCATTTTTAAGAAGGTTTAACCTACACAAGGAAAAACGCGACACAAAAGGTAGCGTGGATGCAATCTGCTTTGGATTAGGTTTGAGTAAGTAAATTCCTCATTTCTGAGTGCGTTTATGTGAATAAGGACTGACTGAATATGACGTACCTGGTGTTTATGAGGATTATCAAGCAGAACAATCTCATTTAACTGGTAAGAGACCAAGGCATTTCCTCCAATAGCTAGCACATGAGCTCTAAGGACTGCTTGAGCTTCAGCCAAAAATGCTTGCATAAATACATTTAAACCACCATTCTACGAAAAAAAGAAACAGCGCACTTAACGACCCCATCAAAAAAGAGAAACAACTAAAGTAAGAAATTATGTACTAGCTTTCCATACCTCACGAACTGTGTGACTTTCCCGTATTAAAAACAAGTTGATGTTGCCTAGGTAACTTTCAATCTGTGTATTTGGTAAGTACGACATTGATGTCACCTCAACAGCAGGGCGATATGGAACCTTAATGGAAAACAAAACAACCATCCGATAACTGAATTAATTAACGCTTGACTCCGCAAGATTGATCCACACCTTATTTTTCTTTGCAGTATCAATACACTGCTAAACAGTAAGGTAATGAGAAAAATCAAGATCGTCAACTATGGCGGGACACTGCTTTGATGTACCGTCAAATTTTCATAACTGACAAACGAGATCAACAGCAGTCACTAAGGGGAATTAATACTCTCATCATTAGATCTTTGGGACTAGAAGGGCAAGAACCTCACTTTACATATGAGTCATTTGGCATTACCCTTGTTCTTACAGACAGTGGATGTTCAAGGCATCTCTTAGGTCTTGATTCTGCAAAAAAGATCGGCTCATACTCAGCACTCATTCAAAGAAAAGCCAAGTACTTTAAAACGCCTTTTACAGTTTTCGTAGTCAAATCTCCCATTGGAACACACCTGGGCTGTCATTACGTTTTGAGTCAACTGGAGCCTTGATCTTCACAGCCGTAACAAACGCGTTACTTTTTGTTAAGCACTTTTCTCAACTTCAGGCAAGTTCACCCCTAACATAAAGGGCCCACCAAACATAATCTGCCATAGCAGGTGTTGTGAAGGTAATTTTGTCGATGGTCAAAATAACTCAAAATATCGTGACGGAACCCCTTTAATGACAGCCCTACACACCAATTGGTTCTGGTGAACCATCCATAATGCCATATTGTTCAATACAACTTTCTAAAGGCTTTATAGGTATCATGATATCATCTCAGATGAGGGTGCTGCACTGAATAACTGATTAACATTCCTTTCTTTAAACTGAAAGTTAATTTTGATTCCATCTTCTGTCCATCTATTTTTTTTCCATATACAGTTAAACCATGTTACAAGAATGTACTTTAGGTGTGTACAAAGGTGTTCATAAATAGCATGACTTGTCATGTTACCTGATTCGGAGTTGATGTTTTCCACCGAGGTATTATCCACAACCTCTTCAATGGGAAAAAGTAGGTCATCAGACTCCACACCATTCTCAGAGTTATGTGATACACGAGAATAAGCTGAAAAATCATGAAGATTACACGTATTCACTAAATACATTTATACATTGCCACAAACAATACAGCCAATCAGAGTACAGAAAAGCTGTTGTGTATTTCACGGTATTACACCCAACCTTAACATCATGGGTAGCCTGCAGTGCAGGCGTGTTTGGACGCGCGAGTGCACATTTTCGTATTAGGCCGCCATTTTGGATTTGGTAACTGTCAAGGATTGGGGCAAGGAAATATTTCCCGAGGGAGTAGGCGTTAAGTGGAAAAAAAAAGGACAAGGGGGGAGGGGAAGGGGAAGGAAAAAGTGTTATATAATAAATATACAACGTTCTCTCGTGGTATATCATAAATATCCCTCAAGACTTGTGGGATATTCCATGGTATACCACGAGAGAGCATTGTATAACTACAACTGGTATGAAGTTTTAAAACAGAAAGGCACGTTATTTCGCTTCATCTTAGTATAATACGTTACAACATACAGTCAATTTTTATCATAGTCGAGACAGTCTCTGTAAAAGTGTCCACTGCGATATAAAATTGCTTCTTGAGCAATACAGTGAAACCTCGATTTAAGGAACTTCTGCATAACAAAGTCCTCAGTACAACAAGCGATATTTTTTCCAGTAATAGTAAAATATATGTAAAAGGATTCTGACACAGCGAAACCTTATCATAGCGAACATGTCAAGATTTCACTTTCCATGACTCTACCCCTATTGTCTTTTCAATGTTGTTCTTGTTAGGGTCATTAGCTAGTGATCACTTGCTTTTTATCTCGCACTAGATTCTTACAAATGAGTTTTCTCAGGAGGACAAACTGTCATATTAAAGCCCCTGACTGTTGTAAAAGAGGACAGGCTGTTCCAGAGCAGTTGAAAAGGGCTGCCAGGCAGCCTACTTTAACTTACATCTCTCACAAAGATTTCTTTTGTTCTTGAGAAAACTTCCCTCTTCTCCTTGTCTTTCCTCTATACAAAGTGCCACACCTGTCACAGCGACCTAAGGAATGATTGCCAAAGAAAAAGTAATGTCATAAATGTTTCCAATATTGTCCACTCAAAAAATAATCAAAACCGGTGAAAACTTAATTTACCTGAATATTGTCATCTTCTGGAATTTCAATATCAAAGTGAATATTTGAAAGGCAACAGGGGGACTTGCTGCGAAGCTTGAACCAGAAGCTCTGAAATGTCAACAAAACAATAACCTTTTCAGTAAAATGTGAAACACCAAACACATGCAGCGCCATCATCAGGAGAAATGTCTTTCAACTGCCTGTTTGATGTACTAGAGTGGGACCCCGCTATAACGAAGACCCCGTTATAACGAACAACATTCGAAAGCCCGGCAGAATTACAGTAAAATATATGGAAACAAACCCCGCTATAACGAACCCTGCCATAACGAAATCCCCGCTATAACGAATTGATTTTGACGGTCCCAACGCACAATTTACCCTGCTATAACGAATATTTTGTCCTGTCACTCGCAGTCAGTAAAAACGACATGATGATACAAATGGTTGATAAGCCAAACACGACTCCTATTGGTCAAGATAGGGAAATTTTGACCTTCAAAGCTTTGCTTTATTTAAATGTAGCTGTTCACGCGCAAGTCTGTAGACTGTTTTGCGTGGTGTATATCCCGTTGTTCAGCTTGGTTCAACTTGGTTACCCCGCTATAACGAATATTTTTGTTGTTAACCAGATAATTCGTTATAACGGGGTCTTCGCTACAACGAAGACCTCGCTATAACGAACATATTTTTCGGTACCGTGACACTTCGTTATAGCTGGGTTCCACTGTAACTTGTACTAACTTTCAGGAAAACGTGAATTCAAAAAACTTGAAAGACTAGTTAAGGGTACTCAATACAAACATGTCTCTGGGCTGGATAATCAAACTAATTTCTGCAACAAACACTCTTTCGAAAAACAACAAAAGCAAACAAATGAACACCCCTTCAGTCACTCGGATACAAAGGATGAATAGACATGCCCACTCAGAGGTAAAAAGTTACCTTGCTTGCAGCAGATGGAGAGGTTATCTCTAAGTGTGACAAACTAGAAATGCTTATACTATGTGTGGAGTGACTGAGAAAATTCCTTGAGTGTAACAGAGTGGAAAACACATTCTGAAGGGTGACAGACACTTCATCACATATTAAGAAATCTAGGCACTCCATTAGATGTAGCTGATGGACAGACACTCCCTTGAGTATAATAGATGCAGACACTTTCTTAGGAGTAACAAAGTAGCAGACAGTCAGCAGGTGTGAAGAAGTAGAGATTTTCTGGGTATATTATTTGGGAAGACATTTTTTGGGTGTAACTTTGAAGGACAGACACCCCTGTGGAACAAGTGGCCAGACACTTCTCCAGGTGCGACAGATGGATTGACAACTCATTGGATGCAAATTATCATACTTCCTTGGGTTTGATACAAAGACAGGTAAATGGTTCTCAGGTGTAATGGGAGGGGAGACACTTTCGATGATATGAAAGATGGACAAACACTTCACCAAGTGCGATGATGAAACTACAAGCATTTCAGGACGATATTCAGATGTAGAAAGATTCATGCATTAAAACACCTTACTTTGACTGTGTCTTCAAACAGCTTAGCGAACTGCTGATTTGTCCGTATGTCTTCATCACTTAGTGTTTTTCTCTGAACTGCTGTTATCATCTAAAAGAAATTTGACATTAATCTGCAATTACACTATAATACATCAAACTATTCTCAAATCTTGATTGGTTCGTACTTAGTGTCAACTGGAGGGGAGATGCATAAATGATGTCATAAACATTTTTTGCTTTGTTATTTTATAAAACAAGCAGATTCAATGTTGCTGTTCATATGTTCCATAACTGGTAACAGAAGAAGTCAAATCTAGTAAGAACATCCATGACACACTCATGTATCGCCTCATGTGCCACCTTAATGTCCTTAACACATTTTGACATCATCTGAGATCAGTTACTGAACATTCACAATGTTAAGAAGATTTGCTTCTCTCTGGGAAGAAATACATTTCACATATACCTTCACTCCTGATTTAAGATTGATCACACCAGGAAGTGTCTCCGTGTTACAGGAATAAAAACCTTTGTAGGTAGATAATAAACAAATGTTATTACAACATTTATATGATAATAAACCTCAATGGTGAGGAATGATCTTTTCTAGTCAACATCTAAATTTCCAAATACTTTGTGCCTTAAGAGTTTCACTGAAATGCTGTATAGATATCTGCTGGTTTATGTGCATGAAAAATAGAAAAAATATCCAAGAAGTAAGTAAAGAAAACTAATGGCCATTTCATATCACAGTGTGTGCTGTTGGCTTGTAATTAGCACTACGCCTAAAAACAATTCCTCTCTGACCTTCAGGAGCTGGTTCATCAAGCAGAACAGCTACCACATCTTCATCTTTTTTGTCATCAACCTAAACGCAATATTTATTTGCCTTCAGTTCTATGGAATCAGCAAGCAACATATCTTGTGTTATAATAAAGCTGCTTCAAAGAATGATGGACTTTGCTTTAAGCAAGCACAATGACACACTCTTTCCCATGAATTTCTGGCCACAGTAACACTTTGCCATGTACATTGTATATTATTCTCTAGTAGCAGTGCTTTGTATTAGCAGACTATTCGTAACCCCAAGTGCCAACAAGTCCATAAAATTAGCTCTATTACACCTTTCTCTCCCAAGTGTACCCTAGTTCATGTTCTAAACCTGCAAAGTAGTAAAATATTGAGAGTAAACAGTACACATAGCAATAATGCTCAGTACAACACAACATAATAAATAGTAAGTATCAAAAGACCTCCACAACATATGCATCTTTTGGCCCTGTACACAAATCAAGGTCTGCCTTAGGTCCTTCATCTTGTTCTAAATCAGCCATAGTCACTGCTTGAACCTTCTGTGATGGACTTGTGGTGGTGTTCCCTTAGGAGTCTGCTACAAATAGAAATGTACACTTGAACTTTAAATCTTAGAAAGAGTGTTTTTGTGTAACAAAATAGCACACCTTAAACAAAATGCATACAACTTGACTCTAACCTTTAGAAAGTGCATGGAGCATTGTATAGGCCAAACGGCACCATCATGGGTTTTGTACCTCACTGGCCAAAAAGTTTATCTCTGCTTTGATAAATTATTAATAGCATGTTTATTGTGAATGTATTTCTCGCCAGAAAGCTAACCAAGCACAATTTCTCAATAAGCAAACATATTTGGATCCTAGTTGTGATGTGACCATGCCAACTGAACACAACCATTGAAAAAAAATTAAAATTATACTGTAATACTAAAAGTAGGTTCTTACTATATGGACAGTATCTTTAAGTCTGAAGCTGGCTCTATTCTTGTTAGTTGTTTCCAAAATTTGTTTCTGGATCTCAGCAAGTCGCTTATCTTCTTCGGCAGACAGGTTACGCTGTTAAGAGAAAAAAGCATGGCTATGTAAATCCTGTCTTCTCTATGCTGCTGTGCCCCATGAGTGTTAACAGTGCTGTAACACTTGAGTTATAGAGGGAATAAAGTAGGAAATAAAACTTGGGGTTAGTGATGGTCCGCTTACATGTTTAAAACATACAGAATCTGTTTTGCAACCATATTAGAAATTGAAAACAAGTTTAAAATTACCGATTATCAATTATTGCTCGTGACTTACCCGTCCAGTGATCTTCAGTAATGGTGGTGCGGGCAAAGCAGCCAAGAAAACTGCTGTGGATGACTGCAAAAAAGATATGTACTTCATTACAAAAAGTAGCCAACAGAACAGCAATTATAGCCCACAAAACCACAGTACCAGTGCAATAAGGATGATGGTGGCTCATCTATCTCCTCTATCAAGAAGTGCAAGGAGACACACATGTATTTTCTAGCTGCTACTTGCTTACATCTGCATTATTTCTAACTAGAAGTTAGAACAATGGCAAATCTACAATCTATATTATCATAATGAAAAAATCCAAAACAGCTTACTGCAGTTCCAACAATAAGGCTTTCTCCTACTGATATTTGAAGGTGAAGTCCAAAGAGTGCATTCATGCCCTTCACCTGCCAGACAAAAAAATCTTAAGAAGCTTGCCCACCAGAATCAAAACTTAGATACACTTCAAATTGGGAAACAAGAAATAAAGCAGTATGTCAACACTTGACCGTAATGGAAAACATCATAGCAGCTGTATGTCGGCCAAGCAGAAATTTAGTCTTCGTGATTTCCGTAATCAGTATTTATCTGACAGCAGCAGATAGGGTTGTAGAGGATATTCATTAATTTTAGTTAACCAGCACAAGGGTTAGAGGGGATGATAAAGGGTCATTAAACTTAACTACATGTAGTAGTGAGGATGGACATAGATCTTAAAAACCACACCCTTTTCTCATAGACTAGTCCAGCCTACTACAGTGGCACCCGCTATAACGAAGTGTCATGGTACCAAAAAAATGCTCATTATAGTGGGGTCTTCGTTATAGCAAAGACCCTGTTATAATGACAAATTAACTGGTTAACAACAAAAATATTCGTTATAGCGGGGTAACCAAGCTGAGCCAAGCTGAATAATGGGATTTACACCACGCAAAACAGTCTACAGACTTGTGAGTAAACAGCTAAGCAAAGCTTTGAAGGTCCAAATTTCCCTATCTTGACCACTAGCAGTCGTGTTTGGCTTGTCAACCACTTGTACCATCATGTTGTTTTTACTGACTGTGACAATACAAAATATTCTTTATAGCAGGGTAAATTGTGCGTTGGGACCGTCAAAATCTTTTTGTTATAGCGGGGATTTCGTTATAGCGGGGTTCGTTACAGCCGAGTTTGCTTCCACATATTTTGTTGTAATTCTGCCAGGCTTTCAAATGTTGTTCGCTATAACGTGTTCTTCGTTGTAGCGGGGATCGTTATAGCGGGGTGCTATAACTGAATGTGCAGAACTTACCTTTAACTTGTTTAACAGCTGTTGGTGCAGTTCGTATTCTAGAAATGGTAAGATCTGGAGAGGGGTAAAAAGTGGGCCAAAATGAAATTCACAAAATAGGTAGTAGGAAATACAAACACCTTGTATTTCGTCATGAAGATTTTAGTTAATGCCTTTGTTACTTCAAGACTAGACAATTGTAATTCATTGCTAAATGGCCTTCCTTGTAGCCTTTTACATAAGTTGCAGCTTGTACAGAATTATGCAGCTCACTTAATTGTGGGTGGCTGCAAGTATGACCATATCATGCCATTATTCAGGGAGCTTCATTGGCTACCCGTTGAACATCTTATTACTTTTAAATTACTCTTAATAACTTTTAAAGGTTACATTGGTAATCTTCTGAACTTATACACCCCAAATAGGTTATTATGGTCTTCATCAAAATTTCTGCTTGAAGTTCCTCCATCGAATCTAAAAACTTACATGGATACCGAGCATTTTCTGTATGTGCCCCAAAGTTATGGAACTGCCTTCCTAACTATATTAGGTGTGGCCCCAATGGCAGTGCTTTTAAGCCAGCTCTAAAAGGATATCTTTTTAAATGTTATTTTATTTCTTAGGTGAATGTAAGTTTTATTAATAATATATGTCGCAGTGAATTAGCTTGGTGCTAAGGGATTTAAGGTGTGAAATGGAGATTGTCATGTTCACAACTGACAAAACCAAATCAAGATTAAATCATTATAATTACATTCTTGAATCTCATCTTTCAAAGAACATTCAAACAGAAATCAAAGAATGTTCAATAACCAGCTCACTATCTGTCAGTACATGTACTTACAGAACTAACAATATCAGCATTTGCTTCACCTTTCTCCTTCTTTTTGGTTCTACAAACCCTGTGATAAAACACATTGGTTACATACCTCAAATGTTGCAGAGTTATAGACATGTCATGTTAGTTACAAGTGTTATCACTACCCAACCTAGAGTTCTTAGTCCAAAGTAGTTTATATTTTAACACTAACAGCAACTGTAACAACGTTGATGATGCCACTTCATATATGCATGATGGAGAGATTGCTCCATCACATGACATGATAGGTTTGGTATTCAGTCACTAAATTCTTGTAGTATTTTCAGACTCCTGGCTGGGAATAACTAACACTGTAGTTCAGAGATAAGGAAGCCTCCATGAGGTGCATAACTTAAGAAATTCATACTGAATACCGAGCCTGAAGAAGACAGCCTCTACCAACAATGGGTGATTCAACAGGAGGTTCAATTGTAGCAAATATCACATCAGGAACTTTCCTATACCTGTTAACAAATGAAAAAAAAGAAATCTACCTAAAATAATGAGAAATTGTCTTAGCCTCTATGACAAAAAAGGTCAGCCCTAACCTCCAGCTCACATAACATGAAGAAGGAGCTTAGAGGTATTGTTACTCCACCTGGATGGGATCTTAGTCCATCACAGGTTCCTCCACAGCATTCCTTTAGGTTGCCCCAACAATTCACCAGTACCAATTTGTATTATATGTCTAGCTCCATGAGCGGGCAAGATGAACCAAATCCTGCACTGTGATTGGTTACCTGAGTGGGCAAGAGGGATCTGTCTTGCCCGCTCAGGACTGAGACCCACTATGTCCCGCAAGAAAAATTTCCCCAAATGCCATATCATAAATCCTTTATTGACCAAGCTAAGCACTTGGTAAAAATGTCTTGATATTGGCCTTGTTCTTTTCTGGAGTTTATGGACCTCCACAAAAAAAGAAACAGCTTGGCCAATATCCAGCCATCTTGACTGCACATTTGGTCAATAATCCATTGGGTGGAGGGAGGTACTGTGAGAGTAGGATGTTTTGCCTTAGAACAGACCACAAGCACCCTAGCTAGGACTCAAACTACAACTTCTCAATCCATAGATCAGACGTCATGCATCACATGGATGCTTAACATTGGTCAAAAACACATTGAATGAAACATGATTGGTATGATGAACAAAAATTATACTCAGCTCTCTTTTGACTGTACCCTTCATAAACACTTACCGACAAACTTGGCATTTTGATAGTATAATAGGAAAAGGTAACTCTACATCAGAATAAGGAATGTGGCACACTGAACAGCCAGGAACAGGAGAAGTTGACAAGATCTCTTCACCAAGTGATGTTCTGTGAGTTCATTTAAAGATACAGATAAATGAATTAACTTAATTATCAATAACTCCATTAGTGACCATCTTGATAATAGCTATTGCTTTGATATTCATGCATTCTCCAAGTAATTCTGGAGGGACATCAAGACTATTTAAAATCACTGCACTGTTTTGTTTACTTACCCATCCTGTTCAGTGACATCAATGGTGACTGGTTCAAGTGGATCTGTGTGACTTGGCAAAGTTGGTGGGACAGCCTGGCCTTTCTCCACAACAGGAGCTACAAGATGAATAATTCAAAAGAAATTTTGTTGTTGTTTTTTGGAATCACTTGTAAAGACTGACAACACTATTACAAAGAAGAGAGCCACATTGTCAATGGTTAGCTACAATGATGGTCAAAAGCAGTTGAGACACTCCCCCCAAAAATATCCTGTTTCGTTGAAAACGAGTTTTTCAACCTCCAATTTTCACATTTCAACCCCCTCTCCTCTTTTCAATGTTGTAACCATGTGACAGTATCCACTGAGCATACTTCATCATTGAAAAGGGGGGAGAGGGGGTTTAGCTATCGACAAAAAAGATCTTTTTTGTAATTACGGAAGGACGCTGATAGAAAACGTTTGTTCTGCTCAAATGTGTCAACATGCACTTTTGTCCATGATTGTAGTTGTACTTTAGACTTGAAAAAGCTAATAATAACAACATGAAAAGTTGGGACAAAAGATACAGCATTCTACTGGAGATGTTTTTTGACATGTTCATGGAACATTATCAATGTTAGTTCACTCCATGTACAATGTCAGAACACCCAAACAAATGTGTGATCTAGTGCAAGTACATACAGAGAATGCCATGGGGAATTCCACTGGGTTCTGTTGTAGCTAGCTGCAGGTCTATACATGCTGCTGTCCCTGATGCTGACAATACTATTAGCTCATCACTATGAAGAAAAACAATATTGTAGTATAAAAATATGTTTATTGTCACCATTGTGAGTAAAGAATCAAGAGGTGCAACATGTAGTTCTAGTTATGGTATTTTGAGAAAGGTTGCTCTTTGTACAGAACCATGGAAATGTATGCAAGAAAGCAGAGCTGCACTACAGGTAGAGGGTACAAGAATCAAAGAATTTTCCACGCATCACAACTTCAATCACTCATTGGTGAACTACCTAAAATACATGTACCTTGCAACATTGTTGTACACAATAGTTGTTACTGTTAGTGAGACAAAATTTCTCACCATATGCTGGTAACTTCATAGTATCCTATCACTGCATGACAGCCAAGAGCTCTGGCATGAGAGCGGATCTCCATTCTCACCTCACTCCACCAGGCATCTCGTGTTTCTGGCTCATCTAGTGTTAAAAAGAACAAGGCTGTGCTATTGAAGTGCCTGGATGCCACACAAGTGACTAACTTTTGCCTTAAGGTGACTGGAAAACATACTTTTTCATATAAGATTAAGTGCTGGACACCCAGGATTTCTTGGTTAGGAACCTTTGGGTTCAAGCTCAGAAATTTTCTTAGACAACAATCTTGAAGAAGCAAGCAAGATTTATGATCATTTAAATGTAGTAAGTGAGATTACACCTTCTTGAATATCTCATCAACTAGCAGTTTTCATTATGGCTAACGGCTTTGTCTCATAATACCATGTTATTGGCAATCACATTTTCTTTTCTAGAGTCATGTGGTTTATCTTTGCCCATGTCTGAGGTCACAGTGCATTCTTGCATTTACAGTGCTTGAAAAAAGTGTTGTCCAGTTGTCCAGGACAAATAGATTTTCTCACCAGGCAAGTAACATTCCATTTTCAGTTGCCTAATTGACAAGAGCCCAGACAAATCACCTGCTAACTAGACTTGCTTGCCAACTAGACTTGCTCATGGAAACATGTACCTGGGTGATTGATTTTATGCAGAAGTTTCACAGATCGTGCTGTTACAACACCGCCAATGTGTCTCAAAAATGGTAAAGAATGGAAACTCCTGAAAGATGTAAAACAAACTGCTTGTCTCTGTTGTTGTTGTTGTTACTATTAATTATTGTTATTGTTGTTGTTGTTGTTGTTATTGTTATTGTTATTGTTATTGTTATTGCCTTTTTGCCTTGTTGTAATATTAGCTTTTAATTTTTTGGATTACCTTCATATCTTTAATTAGTGAGTACACTGTAACTTACTTAAATTTATTAATTTGTTTTATATTTAACTCATTGATGACTGTGCTGCCCATCACTGCCTGTGACAAGCATTGGCCTTTGTTCCACTTCTGACGTCATCCCTGTAGACCAAAATGGTACCTAAATCCTAGTGACTGGGTCAATTGAGCATGAAATATGTACAAATTTAAAGTGCTTTGAAAATGGAGTTTGTTATAGGCAGCTAATACCATAGTTGTAAGCTTCAAATTATTGTAGTTTAAATTATTATTGTTTCCTGTTTTGAGATGCAAAGCTGAAAACATGAAGAACAAAAACACTGCCTTGAAGCCCCTCACCCCTCCCCACCCTCACATCCTCTCCCCTCAAAATTCTATCCAAGGATTGTCCTACTGAGCCTGCACCTGCAAGGCCATCAAAGAAGAGGACACACTACCGTTAGAAAAAAATTGATGCTTGGACACGAGCCACTGCTGACAACGAAATATTAATGTTGTTGTGCCTAATGAGTAGAGTTCCCTAGATGCATGATGATTACTTACAGTTTGAGAATGGATATGAATGAAAAATGAACGCAGTTCTGTAGACATGAGCTTAATTACCAACTGAGAACCTATTACAAAGTTCAACATTAATACCAATTCTAAAGTCGTCTCCCTAGTAGGACATTGTGTTAGCTTAAAGATCAGCATCTATTATTGGATGAGGGTTGTACAGGGGTATTCTCTTGATGCGTGATTAGCTCATTTTTTCCCATGAAATGTGATTTAGGAAATTATTCTTCGTGATTCGTGACCTGAAGGTTTTGCATGACCCATGAAGTTCTAACTGAATTATTAACCGATATTTCTGATTTTAGCACTCAATTCTTTGTGATTTAGAGACACAAGTTTTCTGAATGGTAAGAATGGTCTATCAAGAGTGACTTGGGCATGCTATTTGCCATATAGAGCCTTGACGTACCATTTGCGTTTTTTGCTCCCTTTAAACGCTGTTTCTACTGTAAGAACAGGTCACTAAAAAGAGTATCTTTTTTAATTTTTATTTTCGCAATTTGGGAAAATGAAATTTTCATACCCATGAACTGTTAGGTTCGTGAACAGTGCCAGAGACCCCCCTATACGACCCTCTTGAATACTATTGGCCATGCAAATCACACAATCCAGATTCTAAAACTTCATGCTACAGAAAATAGAGTTCAGGTAAGGCCTGATAAACCTCTTAAAGTAGCCAGACTAGAATTAAAAGTAATTACTATTAGATGTACAAAATTCATTTACCAAGTCATCAACCATCTTCTGTTTCTGAGTGACCTGCCAAAGTCCCTTGGCCTTGGTGAAAGGGGTGCCACAAGCACTGCTACTGTTACTATCAACCCCTGCACTTGTAGCCAGCACAGCCACGCGGTCTGAATGAATATGAGACAGAAAAATATCTGTAATAAAAGTCAAGTAATTTACATCCATGGGTGTACAGTATATAAAAACTAATGAAAGTAGTCTGAACTGGATAGAATTTATGTTAAATACAAAATGAATCAGAACTTGGATTAAGTTAAACTGAATTTATAGTCTGCATAAATTTGTAGTCTGTGTAAAGTGTGTATGCTTAATTATATGCAGGTCAGTTTCTTGGATGTCCATAAGAAAAATTCTCAGTACCAACTGAATTAGCTAGGAATGTGTTACAATATATGAACACAATTATAAGTTTCTCCTTGGCAGAGGCTCCCTAAAAAGGTATGGGTATCCCCATGGAATTTTATTTGATTGTCCTCTCCAGCCCCTGCACAGTAAGGCTACAAAACTAGGGCAAAAAAAGCAAAAAGGGGCCTCTGCAAAAACACAAACCTTCAAACTTCCAAGAGGAAAATAAGAGAAAACTAGAAATCTTTCTTGTTCTCAAAATTGAGCAAATTTAAAAACTGAACTAAGAGAAATCATACATTACATCAAGCCATTCATTAAATGTTAACTTCTTTTGGGGCAACTACATGAACATGTAGATGACGACAATGATGGTGATTAATAGTTTAATTTAATTTAATTCATTTAATTTAATTTATCGTTTAATTTATGCTAACCTTTAGGTGGAGATTCTGAGCCTGGATCCGAATCAGATGATGAAACCCGTCTTCGCAAAGCAGCTGGCGCCATGACTTTACTGGATGGAACTGGCAAGGTTTGGAACGACTCTGGGAAGTTAAATCTGAAGAAAAACAGTAACAGAATTTTGTGTTCTGTTAGTAGCAGCTTTTATTTTAGAGTAAGTAATTACTTTAAAATCATGTATCTAATGCAAGTTTGCCAGTTTGCAGGTCTCAGGGGTTTAATTACCCCCCCCTGTGAAAACCAGTGGCCCTCTTGGTAAAACACTAATGAAATCCCCGAGGTCTGCAGTCTATGTTTGCTGGACACTGACCTTTAGCATAAAATTATGCCCTCAACAATCGAGATTTCAACTTGCAGTTTATTTTAAATTTTTAAACATGCTATAAAAATTATTAATACCTTGGACAGTTTCATACCATTATTTTAAGAAATCTTTTTATTCCACGGAAATTTAAAGGGGCTCAGTCACGTTTGAAAAGCTTAGCAAAACTTTTCAAATTCGTTGTTTGCAATCCGTGTCAATCTTCTCCATCCTTAACCATCCTTGTTCCTTTATGATTTATTATTGTCTCTTTGATGTTTTTCTATCTTTACAAAGTGTTATTTTTAGGTTTCCTTCAATTTAACGGTTATTTTTTTCAATGTTCAAAATAACTCAAGATGCCGTGACTGAGCCTCTTTAAAAACATCAGCTCACCCAGATTCTGACACATGACTTCCAGGGCCCAGTTCCCCAGAGGATGCCAGTGGACGAATCGGAGTGGATGGACGAGAGGTTCCTCCAGTAAGAACACCACTGGTCAAGGTCACAGCAGTACCAATGCCTCGTACTACAATGCCATATTCACCCTCAAGGTCAAAGCACTGCCGATAACTACAGTAGTCAGACCATTGAAAAACAAATAGCAATGTCAGTGATTACTAACCCACCGAGGCTGGAAGCTTAAGTTATTGACAAATCTTGTGGTCATTAGATGACTGAATCCTGGCCTTGAGACAAGACCGTATAAACATGATAAAAACAATGAGGTCAATAAAAAATTATCCTGCCATCTTGACAGAACATTAGCTTGGTCAATAGAGGATTTACTACATAGGATATGCTTCTTCGGCTTCACAAACTTTTTCTTGCAGGAGACAGTGCATAATTCTCATTGGGCAAGATAGCACCATCTTGCCCACTCTGGTAGCCAATCACAGTGCAGGATTTGGGTTATATTGCTTGCTCGCAGAGCTAGCCATTTAATTAAAATTAGATATTTGAACAAAATTTAAAACAGGTAATTGAACAGCTTCGGTAATGATGAACCCAGCAAGGCTGTGTCAGCCTGTTCAACCTTACCCAATAACCGCATTTCCTCCTGTCTCCAAAACTTTAAGACCAATCTTTCACTGGAGTTCTCCTGTTAAGTACAAAATGGACAACAACATAAATGAATATCATGCCTGTAGATGTCATCAGCCTTAAGCATGTCTAGTAAAACACTGTGCATAATGTATGAATGTAAAACAACTACTGTACACATCAAGCTTACCAAACTACTGTAAGGTCTTAAAAATGAAGATTTCCACCACCTTCAACGAAGTAGTAGGGTCTGTTCCGGAATCTACCTTCCCCCACCCCCACCCAAGATGGCCGCCAATAAAACTTAGAGAAAAAATGACGTCACACTGCCCCTTAACCCCGTTTAACTCCTTGAGGAGGTAAACCCTAGCCCCACGGTCGCCCCAAATGCAATGACTTTTGGACCCGCACCTGCGTGCACGTCTGCTGACCAATAACCCTAAGAGCACCGCATAACCCTAAGCCGACTACTGGGACCCCGCGCGCACATCTGCTGACCAATCATTGCAAAGCTTTTCATATGAAAATTAGTTTTGTTTGCATATGAATGAAAACTACAGTCAACCCCATTATTAGATACCTTTGGAACCAGGAAGTGTCCGTATTTGAGAGTGTCCTTATTAAGTGGGTTAATTTAAGGAAAATGTATGGAGCCAGACCACGAAAACTGTTCGTAATAACAAGTGTCTGTAGCAGGTGTCTTAAAGCGGGGTTTCACTGTAGTTTTGAAATTCATAATACTTTGCAATCAGTTAGCCCTGCTTTCATAATGAGGTTCAAAACAAGTCGGGCATGGCTTATTCAATTGTTTCCTTTGGTTTTTGCCATTTTTGTGGTGGACTAATATGACCCAGGCAGACTAATTTATGCTTGGGTAATAAGATTCAGAGGGTTCATTGCTTTAGACTGTACAACAGTTCACATTTTTTACGTGGGACTTGAATGAGCAAGGGAATTGAAAGTGTAGTTGATAAAAGTGTTGTTTTTTGTCACTGACTTGTATATTACGGTAAGACATTTCGGCTAACTCTTAAGCCTTCATCAGTTGAAAAAACCACTTGATGTTACGCATGATTTAAAAACTTTTAAATTGAAACGTTGCGCGTGCTGTATGCGCATGACTCGAGAGAATTTAAGTACGTGCAAGGCAGTTGTAGACTTCTGGGATGACCATGTGATCATTCCCAGCGTTCGGGTCTTTTACGGACATCCAAGCCTCCAGAAAAAGCCGCTGATGGTAATGCGCCTCATGTTCGACGACTTCAACGTTTTCAAAATCCATATGGTGATGATGCTCGTGAACATGGCACGCAAGTTTGGAGTTATGGTCAAACATCAGAACAGCCTTTTTGTGCTCAGAAACCCGCGTCTTCAGTGCTCTTTCGGTCTGGCCATAGTATACAAAATCGCATTGACTGCAATTGATTCTGTACACTATTCCAGATGACGGACGGTCGGTTTCATCCTGCTACTTGGGTTGAGGAAAAAGACTGTTGATGATTTTCTGTGGCTGGTAGGAAACTCGCAAAATTTGTTGCTTTAGCACGCGACCAATTCTTTCGGAGACGCCTTAACGTACGGGAGTACTACTTTCTCTCTCACCACCCCTCGTGCCACAAAAGATCAGTGGTTAACACGTTACTCCTTCGCGCGAGAAACATTCCTTCCACGAGTAAAGGAAAACGCGAGGAGGTGCAAAGAGTAAAAGCGGTGCTTCGAGAGAACAATTACCCGTCTGGCTTTATCAAGGAATGCAAAAGAGCGCTGGCAACAAAACCATCTCAGCCTACCACGAATGGTTAAGTAGTACTCCCGTACGTTAAGGGCGTCTCCGAAAGAATTGGTCGCGTGCTAAAGCAACAAAGTTTGCGAGTTTCCTACCAGCCACAGAAAACCATCAACAGTCTTTTTCCTCAACCCAAGCAGCAGGATGAAACCGACCGTCCGTCATCTGGAATAGTGTACAGAATCAATTGCAGTCAATGCGATTTTGTATACTATGGCCAGACCGAAAGAGCACTGAAGACGCGGGTTTCTGAGCACAAAAAGGCTGTTCTGATGTTCGACCATAACTCCAAACTTGCGTGCCATGTTCACGAGCATCATCATCATATGGATTTTGAAAACGTTGAAGTCGTCGGACATGAGGCGCATTACCATCAGCGGCTTTTTCTGGAGGCTTGGATGTCCGTAAAAGACCCGAACGCTGGGAATGATCACATGGTCATCCCAGAAGTCTACAACTGCCTTGCACGTACTTAAATTCTCTCGAGTCACGCGCATACAGCACGCGCAACGTTTCAATTTAAAAGTTTTTAAATCGCGCGTAACATCAAGTGGTTTTTTTCAACTGATGAAGGCTTAAGAGTTAGCCGAAACGTCTTACCGTAATATACAAGTCAGTGACAAAAAACAACACTTTTATCAACTATGTCATCTCCTGACTACAATTACTCCATTTTTAAACAAATAGAAAGTGTGTTTGGAGAGAAATTATGCTGACAAGTAAGACCATTCACTTATATAACCACACATCTAATTTTGCATTCAAATTTCCCATACATCCAGCAACAGGAAATTCTTGTTGGTTGAACTATGGCTCATCCTCTCCAGCTCAAAGTGTGGAGGCAGCTGCAGGTCACATATGTACATGTATGCTACTGAAGTGACTGTGTATCTAAAAATGAGGTGGGGTACAGCACAGGTGCCTAGCTCAGTGCAAATGAATCACTACTCTGCTTCCACTGTTCTCCTTACTACAGTCAGGTGCATCACTTTGTGAAACATGACTTTCATAATCCAGTTATTTATGAATGCTTATTGTCCACGATTCATGGAGTACTGATTTCGAAGCAAGTTCCAGGGTCTTCTCAGTACATTGCAAGGGCCGTGGAGGCAAGGTTGGGGGAATTTACCAGAGTTTAAGGGTAGCACGAGTCAAGTTCGAGCCCAAGTTACATTCAAGTCACAAGCCAAGTTTGAGTCAAGATCCAACTTCTATATTTCTCGTTTTTTTCTTATTTTTATGTCTTCTGGTTGTTGTTCTCTTTTTTATAATGATGTGCTAGTGGTAAATGGAAAATAACTTTCAGGTTTGCAACATTTCTCATTATTGATTGCTAGAACCATTACCGCTGTGATTCGCCACCTTCATGTGGCCACCCGACAAACTTATTGTTACAAGTTAGCCATAAAATACAAAACGGCATGTTTTCAATAATACATTGTTGCATCACTTGCTTGTTGGACTTTGCAAGGAGGCATGACCGTTAATCAAATTCACATATCCTGACTGGCTAACTTGTAAAAAAAGTTGGTTGGGTGGCCACGGTAAGCTGCATTGCACACATGTGGATATCACATGCTGTATGCAGATTCATGTCTAGATCGCCCCCACTGAGGCCTCCATCCTGACATTTTGGCCAGGATTGTAGATAATAATAATAGTAATAGTCATAGTCATAGTCATAGTCATAGTCATAATAATAATAATAATAATAATAATAATAATAATAATAATAATAACTAACAATAATTCTAATAATAATAACTACTTCTAATAAAATCAGTCTTTTATTCTTCAAAAAATAAAAATACATATCTTCTGTTTTACAGTATAGCATTCAGGCTCTAAGTCTCTATATTACAAGCCAGGCTAATTTGTATTTAAATACTAAAAGGTTGTTAAAATAGTTTTTAAAATGCCTTGTAGTTATCTTTGGCTAATGACAAGTCTCTTTCCTGAGATGTTAACAGGACAATTTGACACATGGCACTTAGGTAAGAGTGAGTGTCTGATTGACTTGGATACCTTTCTAAAGATAACACAATCTTGCCTTTTTAAGATATCATAAACATTAACAGGCTTGACATAATATGTCTATATTATATTAATTTTTCCTTTAAAACAACAGTCAGAGAAACATTGTACAGGTAGTACATTAAAAACATTAAAAACATTAAAAACAGGTGTAAGATCATGATTTGGAGGCCAGCAGCATAGATTGATAATGTAATTTCATTAAGTAGCCTTGAAATTCACTAAGATGCTACTTACACCAGCTGTGTACAGTAGTTTGATCAATGTTTGTTATCAAATCAGTTTGTCTTCCATAATGTTAAAGAGTTTGTGTCTTTCGTATAATTATTCTGTGGTTGCAGGAGGAATACTGAATTCCACTATGAGTAATAAATTACAACCAGTTTTGCAACAGCCCGAGTAAACATGGTGTAATTTTGCACAGAGTACTCAGGATTGGAATTGGAGACAACAATGACAAACGGCCACTGATACGAGTGAATTCTGTCAACAGAATCAATGACTACTGCATTCTCATCACTTCCAACTTTGCAAACTGGAATCCCAGAACACCTCAGGTTATCGAAAAGTTCCTCGTGGGAAAAAGCACTTGAAACTAGAACAGCAACATCATTATAATTTGGCCAGCCCTTGATCTCTTCTTTTATTAGTGTTGCACAATTTTCAGCTATAAAATTTTCCTTGAGGACTTTGACTGGAGGTCCACAGATCTGATGGCCAAGCTTGATTGAACTGAGAGCAGTAGCACCTTCTGGTCGACTGATGCCTGCTTTGCTGAGATATTCTTGCACAAAGTCATGGATTTCACGTGTATATCTCACTACTGTTTTCATTTCAGTAGGGCAGTAAAATTCATTCATGGTCTTAAGTTCCTTTAGCTTTTTGGAGAACCACCCCCACAACTGAGATTCAAAGCCTGGTATCTGTGCACATGGAAAGAATTGTACGTCATTGCAGGCAATCCAAAAATATCGATCTTTGCCTTTGGGTTCAAGGTTCCTCTTAAGGCTTCGTTCCTGTTTTCCGCCTGGGTCGGTGTCAACGTATATTGCAACAAGCTGAAATTCATCAACAAAGCAGTGACTGTCATGGTCAATAATTATTTGACCAAGGTCACCTAACTTATGAACATCAACATTTTGTTGCCCACAAAAAAAATTCTTATAGAGGTTCATAAGGGGATCTGGAACAAATATCTGAACCTTTTCTCCTTTCCTGGCACATTCAAGTGCTTTGAATTGCAGCAAAATTGTTTTTCCACAGCCTGGGGCACCACCAAAGACCTGACGGTATGGGCCCTCCCATGTCTCAAATTGTTCGCGGTTGAGGAACAAAAACTTCTTTTCCAGAATTCCTAAATTTGGGTTGTCGTTTGTCTTCACTACAACTTCAGTGTCGACCACTTTCTTCTTAGGAGTTTTGGTACGTTGTTTTTTGTGGCTATGCTTCAAAAAGTGTTGGCCTTCGGTTAAATTTTTGTTTATGTCTGCGAGCATTTTATGAAGAAGCACGCCATCTGATAGCTCTTTTCTGCCATATGAACTTTTAATTTCGGTCCTCTGGCTTACAAGGATAGAAAGCAGAGTGTGTAATGCTCGTTCTTGTTCCTCATCAAATGGCCTTTTAACAAATTGTTCTCGCCACCAGGTCAAAAAATTGTCCAACGAATCCAAATTTTCTTTACGAAGGTAAATGAAATCAGTCTTAGAGGAAACTCCATCCGAGTTCAGCGTCGACTCAACTTCTCCTGTTTTTTCGCATCCAGTGTTAGTTCCTGACTTCGATGAGTCAAGTGTAGGTTCCCTAGCGGTGGCATGGCTGTTGCGGGTTTTGTCATTAGGCATCGCAACAACTTTAAGAATCGGAATTTCTATTTGCGAGGTTCCTCCTTTATCACGGATAGCCGACAACAGCGCTTGGATGAATTGCTCTGCGTCATTAAGTTGACGTCTCGCTTTAGAACGCGTACGTTTGCTAGCCTTGACCTCGAAAAGAATCACACCAATTTTCTGATGAATAATTACAAAGTCTGTTTCCTTCGCTGTCTCTGAAGTTTCAGCCATCTTTGATAGGCTAGGATGATTCTCTGGCAACCTCTGACGGACAACTTCCAGAATGAAATTTGACCATATCAAGTTGGATATGACAAACATTGGCAGATTACACTTTTCCAGCATCTTGAAGATTTGGAGTTCAGCTGTGTCTCCTCTTAAACTGGCTTCCTCAATTTGAGTAAGTGGTGTAGCACCAGAGGCTTCGCCGATGGGGCCTTTGTATCTAAACGAAAATATCGGAGGGCACATGACAGTTCCATACTCCCTAAATTCTGCCAACTGTGGATACAACGAATTGAAGTGTTGCTTGCCGACTTCTACGAGGTCGCCTTTGCGTGTTTTAACTTCAACAGCAGAATTCATAACCGCTTCAACCACATACACCAGGTTTCTTGGTAGGTTGCCGCTCAGTAGCGTATCGTAAATTTCAAAATGACCGTTCGATAAGGACACGTGAAGATAATTTTATAGTCTTGGATGATGAAACACTCACCAATTTCCCGTAATACTTAGTAGGTTCACATGTACAGCGGTCAAACGATTGGGCACTCGCGTGAACACGCACGTGATTTACACACTTCAAGTCACTTTCCCTCTTCATCCCATAAAAAATTTCCACGGTCAACCTCCGCCACTCGAGCCATCTCGGTACTAAGTTCAGTCATTCTGCCCCTACAAACGTTCTTTTCCCGAGTTTTACTGCTTAGGCAACAGCCTTTCTGATCCGAAAATCTGCCCCAGAGAGACAGTCTTCATGTTTCGCTACGAACTCGTATTAAAATTCGACAAGAAATTTCACTATATATATAAAAGAGACTCCCCTTTTAGAGCTGTGTTCAAGGTAAAAACCTTAGCTGTTTTGTTTTCGCCTTATCCTCGCGAAATGAAACACATAATCTGCCGCCATTTTGGCACTTGCTTGTTTCTATAGAAATAGTGCAATCCATTCCCACGCGCGCTCTATCGCGTGCGCGTGGCTTAAGCATGCGCACTCATTTGACCGCTGTGGGCGTAGTAGGTATGTTATGTATGAGGATTTATTAAAAACTGGGTCATTGGATAATGCAATTCGAGAGTTTTCATTGGCTAAGCCATCATGGTATATGAGCCATTATACCATGATCTACAAAAATGGCAAGGGTTTGCGTGATTTTTTAGGACCTTTTTGTTTTTATTGTAGTCTAGTTTCTATATTTTGGGGGCGTTTTTAATAAAACAATTATTCCACTCGCACTTGTTGGATATGAGATGATTATAGCCAACTCGGCGCTGCGCGCCTCGTTGGCTATCTATCATTTCATATCCAACGTGCGCTCATGGAATAATTCTTAATTATTATTCAACAAATTGTAACACTATCCAAATATGGTCATGATGCTCTCGATATCTGTCATCCGTAGGTAACAGATATCCGGCGATATACGTAGCTTCGTACATGGGAAGAAAGAGTGAAGTGAAAAAATGTCGAGAGAAAGGTTTAAAAATGTTATGAGCTTGGAAATCAATTTTGTTATCAATTTGTTGAATAATAAAACAATTATCCTGCTCAATCTTGCGGAATATCGTCTGATTTTAGCCGACTCGGCCTATGGCCTCGTCGGCTAAGTATGAGACGATATTCCGCGCGATTTCACAGGATAATTGTCAAATATACTGTACCACGCGAGAACTCCGCTGACCATAGCATTCATACATAAACCGGATCGGCTGCCTGATTTTAACCACTCAATCCTTGCAATTGTGGATGACGGGCATTGCCCGTCCGTAGTTGCCCCCGCAGGGCTTTTGGCCCCAGAGGGCCAAAAACCTGAGGAGGCACCCTAGGACTCCCTGCATAATATAGAGGAAGACTGCACACGAGAGAATGTAGGTATTTCCGGTAGATACACCTAATTGCAGTAAAGTTGTCATAGACAAAAGCAAAAAGCAAAAAGCCACATAGGAATTAATTAGCCAAATTTAAATTTCCATTGTTCTCAGACACTGTACATGAATGAAAAATATGATGCAAATGAATGACCTGAATAAAAAATGTGGCCACTGTGGTTCAGTTGCAACTAAATAGCTAAATACAGTACCCTTCCGATCGTCAGAATTACCCAAGGATAACAATAAGGTGACACGTGCGACTCCTGTCCACAAGTAATAGCCACTTAGGAAGTTTTGCTCGAACTAGTATATTTTTTAGGATCTGCCCCTTTTGTATGGTACAATCGGGGGATATTTGAATATTTCGCCAATCAATAATCCTGTGTTTTCAGGAGGACATCAATGGCAACCACCGCACTCACCACGACTCTATCACTACTGTGTGGCGGACCCACCATCCTCTCCATTCACCTGAAATATTTATAAAATTGAACAAGAAATCGTTTCAATTTTTTTCCCCCAAAAAAGCACCACGCTCAGTTTTTTCCCTTTTTCCCTAGTATGACGCCAACACAATCGAGAGGTTGGGGACCCCCCCACCTTACATGGCGTCAACCCTTATGAAACTTTAAAAAAACAATACACACCCCCAAGCATGTGAGAGAGTACCTTTTTTACCACTATGTCAGTTTAGAGCTGGTTGAGCGTTAGACAAAAAGACGGAAAAAGAATAGGGTTTTTAAAAACGGGCAATAAGACATTGCGGGACATGTTCATCCTCGGAGACCCAGGGGCAGTCAGTCGGGTCGAGAGAATAGGCGGGACGAAAGTTTTCAAGTACGGGCGAAAGAGCCCCTGGGTACCGACTCTTACCGAACCATTTCCAAAAATTCAAACGGATGCCGGCTCCTGATTGGGCACAAAAAAACCTTTGTATTATTGTGCCCAATCAGCGAACAGCATCTCCTGAGTTCTTTTCATGTGTTCGTACACGACGGCTATTATCTCGCCATACTTGTCTGGTTCGTTCACCAAGGTTTCGCGAGGGAATCTTTCACTTTTCTGCTTCCCCAAACAGAAACGAAGGAACTATCGATGACTCGGAAAAACGTTTGGGATGACTATTCCCATTTGCACCAAGAAAATTCTGCTTCTGACCGATCACAAGGTATCGTAAATAACGTAAATAGAAGGCGTGATCGATGAAAGCTTGAATTGAATACGTCTTGAAAGCTCAAGCTTTAAAATACCCTCACATGCGTTTCCATGTGTTAGTTTTCGGGAAGACAGTATTTTCAAATGGACGGGGATGTTCTGTAACTGAAAGTTTCCTGATTGCGTGCATTTCTTTGGTGAACGAGCCAGACAAGTATGCACGCGCGCATGCATTCCCACAGGTAAAGTAGGAAGGCTTTCTAAATTACCCGCGTTAAGTAGGTTACGCTACGCACGTGTGACTTATGGAGAATCATGTTAGTAGTTAGCTTTTAACAGATGATGAACACCTCTGGAAATTTCTGTCTTAAGTGTGGTTGTGAGTTTTTGGATAAAAAAAGAAAGAGGAATATTACTGGCGAATTTGGAAAGATTTACCAGGCTGTGTTCAATGAAAATTTAAGTGAAAATGATGCTCTGCCTCGTGCAGTTTGTGCAAGCTGCAAATACCAAATTGAAAAGGCATGGCAACAGTCAATAAAAGCAGAACAACAGTCAATTCAATACTTGTCATCGTTAAAAAGAAAACATGCCCAGTCTCCTTTGTCATCAAGTTGTGGTGACGAGCAAACAGTGACCCGAATAGAACGTAAGAGGAAAGGTCACAGACTTGTTTTTGAAGCCAACTGCCCTGAACAAATGTCGGTAACAGCAAATACACATCCAGCAAAAGAATGTGCATATATTCTACCAAAGTTACTCACACCATCTGCAGCATTGGCTCATGCATGTGTCAGTGAACAGCCATCAATCATACGTCAAGTCAGAGAAGTACATAATGTTGCTACGCAGACTCCAAAATCAAGCTGTCATTGCCAGCCAAGTGCAAAAAAAGGTACATTTGTTAAGGTAAGCAGCCAATATAATATTATTTTTCCAGTAATTATCAGGACAGCTTGTCTACAAGATCAGCTAAGTTACGTGTACTGATCTTACTCACATCATGTCATATTAATTTGGGGAATGAATTCAAAGATACTAGTCTTGGTCCCCAAGTAAAATGAAGGCTGCAGTGTAATAAACCACTTGCGGAAATTCTAGACAGGTTTGCACATGTGGCAACTAAACATGTAAGCACTCAGTCATCTGTCCAGATTAGTCTCCTTGTAACCACAGGGCATAAGCATAATAATATTGAAAAACTGCCAAATTTCATTATCATTGGAAGCAAGTATCAATCTAAGCAGTATGCCTTTATTTATGAATGCAATGAATAATGATGTTGTTTTCTTTGTAATGATGTTGATTCAGTTGTAATTTTGTTCTTTAATATACAATAATTCTTATGTTCTGATCAAGGTGATTGTGCACTTCAAATCCAAAACTGTGTCAAGGGAATTACCCAAAGATCAAAGCACTCTGGGGATAGCCCTTTGCTTAAAACGACCTGCTTAAGCAATCAGCGCAGCTGCTTTTAAATCCAAAAGTTTGAGAAATTCTTTGATTCATCGTGTCTGCCTCCAAATCAACAAGGAGTGTCGTAAACTGGAGAAGAAATCCTTGCTAAAGAAGACTGCTGTTAGAGACCTCAAACACTTTCAGTGGAATGCAGTTCTCAAAGAATGGATGAAGGAAGCTCCTACCTTTTACAAAGTCCTTAAGTCTATAGCAATGCCCCCCACAATTTCTAGGAACCAGAGGAAGAAACGGTTGTTGAAGCCCATAATTGGTTGTGCTGGAGCAGTACTGCTCAAGGGACGCAATTCAAGGTTATCTGCTGTGCAACATCTTGTTGGCCTTTCACTGTTTCTTGGGCGAACACGAAAAAAGGTGAGTTATTGTTTCAGTAGTTCCAGACATGGAGCTAACGTGGCTGGTCCTACTCTTTGACCAAAATGAAGTTCATGGTACCTTGAATTCGAAACAGTAATAGTAACAGTAATTTCCTAAGAGAAATCAGTTACAGAAATGCATTTTTATTTCCTTTTTTAATTTTTTAAAAATAATTCTTTGTTGTCTTGAATTTATTAAAATGTATGCTTATGTTGGTCCAACATTATTTTGCAGCTTACTGTTGTTGAAGAGAGAGGAGAAGAAAGTACTGCAGTGGATACACCATCTGAAGATCCAAATGTTGGTATGACAATGATTTGCAATTTTTAAGAGACATTTATATGTAGTAGAAATAGCCTGTAGGTGTTCTTAATGCAATAACTATAATACTTACAAATCATTGACAACTGAAATAATCTGCCATTTAATAGAAAAAAATGACAGCGATAAGGATATTAATACTGTAGATTAAAAGCATAGGTATAAATTTTTTCAGAATACATGTTGGTCACCAAAACCATCTGCAAAATACTCAAATTAGCAATTCAAATAAGCACCCCTTGAGTCTAATATTATTAAAATTAGAGACCCCATTGAAATAAGCACTCCCCCAACCTACCCTCAAGAAAGAAAAAAATTACCGAATCTGAATATCTGTGATAGAAGTAGAATAGAATATTTTCAACACCAGAACTATAGGTCTTAAAAGGGAATAGAAATTTGAGAGCGGTCACACAGATTTGTGTTTCTTCTTATAGATACATGTACATTCTCCTACAGTGGATCTATTTACTGGGAATGACTTGACAGTTTGTTATTTTGTTAGGCCGAAACATAAAACCAAAGTAGGCACCCTTACCAAATAAGCACCTGCTGTTTAATTAGTGCCTCCTCTCAACTCTGAGAGAATTTTGCTAATTCAAGCATTTACAGTTGTTTTACTTTACTTTTTACCAGAATGTGAAGATGTCCCAGATGGTTTTGATTCAAGGTCAGTAGTGTCAAATGACTCCCTTGTCAGTTCGGTAAATTCAGATTCAGACAACAATGATGATTCTGGTGAAGCTACACCTCTGCAGTACACTAATGGCGTGTGTGACTATGGCTTGAATGGGGACAATTTGGACTGGCTCAGAAGACCTTCCATCTACTCAAAGGATAAGGACACTGAGTCAGTACACTGGTTTAATTTGTTGGCTTATGACAACAGGGTTGCTAACTTGGATTTGAGTGATGATGCACCTATCAGACACATTATGGAATTACCCAATTCAAGTTTCCTGCCCACACCAGAAGATCATGCAAAACTCAAAAAGACTTTATTGTGCTTGTGCTTCAGATCCTAACCAAGCATTGCAAGTTCTTCAGTCAGTTTTCTCACATGATTCCTTCTCACCTTGCTCACCAATACAGCAAGGAAATGCGTCAGCACTCTCATATTGTAGGTTTCAACTTAACTAATGTTCTGTTCCTTCTGATCAGCTAGTTATTGTTGTAAATGTTATAACAACTTATTACAGGTATTCCAATTATTATCATCTTTTTTATTGAAAATCACAACTGGCAGTGTACCTTTATAAACAGATTTGGCTCCAATTTTTCTGCATAGTTTTTTTATGTTGCCTCATTACAGAAGTTAGGTATAAGCAAAAGGAATCCAGCAGACCACTTTTTGGATGTATCAGTTTTCTGAATTTTTTTTTTATCCTTTGGGGGGCAGGGGTTTGGGGACAGAAAACATTGAGGTGCTTGTTGTTGTTGGGGGGGGGAAGGGGGGGGGCATTAGACTTTGAGATGGTCATTGGGGTGTCATGAAAGTTTTCTCATGTCACATAGACCCAAATGTTATCACCGCTATTTTATCAGGAACTTCACTGAAATACCATCAAAAAGCCTTTTCATATCAAGCAGAATGAGCTTACGGACATTACCATGCCCAGTGCTGTTTCTTGTACCAGATCTAGAGGAAGAGTGGGGCCATTGCTACTAAATCAGTGGAATATGTTGCTTCCAAAACAATATTCTTTAATGCTGGGAGGGGGTCATTTAATTTTTGTTGTTGTCTGAGGGGGGTTGAAAGTTATTGAAAGGAGAGCCGTGTAGAGCCCCCACCCCATCCGAAAGGTAATCAAAATGATTAATAAAATGACTGAATACCATAACATGTAATTTACATGTATGGTTAAAGTAACCTAAAATGGAGCATTGCTCTGTAGCTTGCGGGTTGAATCGGTTGTTGTAGAATATTGCATTTTACCTCCTCAAAAATTTTATTTTTGATGAACAGAACCCAGATTTTTAATCAAAGTATCAAACAAGTTCTGAAATTATAATATAAGAAATAGAAATGGTAATAATAATAATAATAATAATAATAATAATAACAACAACAACAACAATAATAATAATAATAATAATAATAATATTTTAGCAGTGAGCCCACTTCAGCAGGTGATCTTCAGTGGGGTTCTGAATGTTATTATTTTGAACACCAATGATAAGAAGGTAACAGGTGATAAATTTATTACTTGTACTATTAGCTAAACCCTTTTTTGAAATCATCAGGTACACCTGGGTCTCTTGGAAAAAAATGAGAATAAAATCCCCGAGATGCTAGAAATTCTTCAGCACTGTAATGAGGAGTATGTTCCAACTAATGCTGACAAGTCCAGAATTCTTCAAAAGATACCGCTTGGTGGCGACCATTTAACTGTTGAGCGGGCTGTCAGTGCTGTTAACGCCGTTGCTGATGCAGATAGCCCTTATGAAAGACTCCATGGCCTTGTGCTAAAACATGAAGATTTTCATTGTGAGATGAATTTTCTACAGGTGATAAATAAAGCAATATGCTCCATTTAACATAAAACTTTGTCCTTATTGGATTTCCATTACTGCTTTTTTAATGGTCCACTTATCTTAACAAACATTAGTAACTCTAACTGCACTGGTGGATAATTGGTTATTTTATCAGCAAGAAATTTATTTTATATGTTATTTTGGATAATCCTATAAATAAAGTATGTATTACTTTAAATACAAATTTGCAGATGCTGTTTGATTATCTCTACGAAAGCCAGTCAGTGGGAGACTTGGGAACCCTGTATCAACTAAAAACAAGATTGAACAGAAAAGACGTGTGTGACAAAGTAAACAAATCATATCATGGATGTGAAGCATTCTTCAACTTCGTTGTAGATGGGTATATAGTATATGCAGCCATGGTATTTTTTGGCATGGCATCCCCAAACAGTACTCCCAACTCAAACCAACTGGAACCTGGTGCCACATCACAGACACAGTTGTTTGACGCAGTAGAGAAACTTGTGGAGAAGTATGTCCTTCTTGAAGCGCAACCTGCAGCAGTACTCTTCACTGATATACAACAATCAGAACATCCCCAAATTTTTAAGTGTAGGTACCCAGATTGTAACAGAGAATATCAACACGAGAAACGGAGAAACAACCATGAAGTTACAGTGCATGGCCTGAACATAACAAATCATGAGCAAAATGAAAGAAGTCCCCCAGATCCACGCAATGAAGATGGGATTTTCAATTATTCGCATAACATTGTCAAAACAGGTCTTCTTTTCAACGATTTTCAAGATGCAATTAAAGAGGGTGATGGAGGAAGAGTTGAATACCTATGGAAATTTATGATGCTGTTGTTTAAAGTGAGTGGGAAGACAAAATATGCTTTGGCAGCTGTAAGGCTCCACGCACAACTTCATGCACTACTTACACCAAAAGAGGCCCATTCTCTCCGCTGGAACCATACTGTAAATCTCAAAGGTGGGGTGGGGAGAAACATTGCAATTGATCAAGCCATGGAGCATTGTGTGAGAGACACGAAGCAGCTGATGTATGGCCAAGGTGCAAACCTTTCTTGCAAGGTGGCTCAGACCTACAGCAGGGCTAGTGACGATGTCAAGTCCATCATGAACAATTTTGATCAGACAACTAATGTCCGCAGAGAGTCAACAAAACACAAAAGAGGGAAAGATTCAGACATCACTACCATTGTCAACATTTTAAAGGAAATTGAAGCATTTTGTGAAGTTCCTGGAAGAACACACTCTAATGTTGGATCCATCCCTAAAGACCCCATATCTGTTCTTGACTTTGCAGACTTAAATGCATGGCTAACAAAGCACAAGAAGAACTGGGTAAATTCAGTTTAGATGCGCATCCTTACAATTTTAAGTCAAGTCAAAATTTATTCCAAATAGTTGGTTCAGTATGGCCACATAAGGTTTCTCCTAAAAGATTACTAAGGACTTCAACTTTTAAAAGATGGATACAACTCTTTTAAATTGGACACCACAACAATGGCTTCAATTGCATGCCCTATACTATTAGTGAAAAGGATAATATGTTAGTTGGTTGTCATTACAAGTTTCCCTAATAGTGTTATAACCAGTTACAAACACCCTTAATTTTGGCATCTTTAACCTTAAAAAGAAGAAAAAATTTGTTGGCCAGACAGAGCAAGTGAGTCATTTTAATTTTTCAAAAACTAATAGTGGCTATTGACTCTCCTAGTCAAATTTCTTCAAAATCTGTGAGAAGGAAACAATTATTAATTGACTTTGTAGGGACAAATGAAAAAGCTAGTTTCTAGCATTAATGCAGGAAAGTGATCTTTTAAAACAGTAAGAGCTATTTTGCATCACTTAAACCTTGCAAGTCAAATCAGTCACTGACTTCTATCAGTCTCTGTCCCTACTGGCCAACAACAGGGACCCATCTTTCACAATCTTTCATTCAAAACAAGAACAAATGGTACAAAGAATTTTTTTTTTAAAAAACTGAATTTTTATATTAAGAGAACAGCTTCATGTCCCACAGAAAAACCCATTTCACATCTCATCAAATTCTTTTAGAGGAGGCCATATCAAAGCCAAGTCCAGCTGTAGGTATTGAAATATCATAGCCTTAGAAAAGTAATTATTCTTTGCAAAATATACTGTTATTATCAAAATACACAGCATACGTGGATGAAAGGCATTGATACTGAAAGTCCTGACAAGTGAGATTATATATTAACTACTGCTCCAGACTTTCTTGTTGTAGGTCTGTAAACACCTCACAAAGACAATCATACACTTTGAATGCATGCTGTACACTTAAAACTGGAATTTGTTCAATAATATCATCAACACTAAACAAAAAATCACACTTTGAGGTTGTATCTTCAATTATGCGGTCAGTAAAGCCAGTGATTTGGTCAATGTTTGAATAAAAACAATGCTGACTTGATTGTAACACTGCCTGACGCATGCTTTCCTGACACTCCTCTAATAGACCCTTTAGGGCTCTTCTATCACTTTCACTTACACTTCTGCCCCTTGGAGCATCATCAGCTGCTGGAAGAGTCATTTTGGAGACCATAGTTCCCACATTTTGTGGACAGTCTTGTCCACAAGCACAATCTTGAGCACAGACATCACAGCATAAATGTTTCTTCTCTATTCTTCTTTCTTGACTTGTAACTTTAAAAAAATCAAGAATTTGCCTTCTTCTGCAGGACTTTGACTTTGTGTATTCTAGCATCTCTGGTTTACACTTGCGAAGTTGTCTTCCATGAAAGAGTAATGCTGCCTCTGAATATGCACCATCTCTACCAGCTCTTCCCATTTCTTGAACATATGATTCTAGGTCTGGGGGAGGACCATAGTTTATAACATGGTGTAAACCCTTTATGTCTACCCCCATTCCAAGGGCATTTGTTGCAATCACACCGCACCTTACCAATTGGATCCTTGAGTGATTGTAATACGTGATCCTGGATGGAAGGTGAAGTGCCACTGTGATACATTGCCACCATTCTGTTTGTACACTTCTTTTCAGCACCATATGGGTAGTACGCCTTGTCAAGCAAACTGCTCATGAAAAATTGGTAGAGCTCACCACATGTTTTATAGTCTCGGACATATATTAATGTCCGCAGACATGCAATGTTCTTTTCGTTTAACTCCCTGGCAAGCCATGTAAAGTTTACAGAAATTTCACTGGTAACCTTCAAAACAAACAGCTTGATGTTCTCTCTGTTTGGACTAACTGATATTTCCAGACATTTCTTTAAACTCAAACTTTTAATGATTTTATCTCTGGTCAAGGGTGAAGCAGTGGCTGTAAGTGCTAAAAACGGGACTTGCTTTGGCAAAAAAGACCTGATCTCACCAACAAGACCACATCACTTTCTGAATGGCTCCTTTCCATCCTTTTTCTCACCCCTAGAGAGACCAGACAAGTGATTTGTAGCTAAAGAGCGATGTTCTACATAAATAATATATCTTACTTATCTACCATGCAAGCAGCAAAAATTATAATAATGCTCTTGTTATTGTATAAATATTTTAGAATGACTGTATAATCATAAGATATTGAACAATTCCAAGAACACTATTAGGCATGAAAATGTACATAATTTTGTGTAAGAAATGCGGAAACAGTATACAACTGCAACATAGTATTTAGCAATTCCTGATAGGGGTTTAACTATGACTGTCCATATATCTTCAGAAAGGATATATTAAAGGAGAATGATTCAAAAGAAACTGGCCATGGTTGTGAGTTAGTGGGTAGGAAAACATCACAGAGACAATATTACAGTGGAGGTAACATTGCTTCCAGTATACAATGTATTGTATATACTATCACGTTTTGACCACCTAAGAGCTTACATTAAGCACATGCAATGCAATTAGTTTCTGCAAATATAGGAAACTGTACCTTTCCTACTAGAGAAGACTAACACCTATACTGTACATCTGTCATGTCACTCATGAGAGAATGCTTCCTCTTTACAGTGAGTTAGTAATAACAGAAATTTTTGACATCAGTTTACGGCTAAAAAACATTATTTAACTCAATTTAATGCAATACTAATTATTGCATTAAGCAGATTTCAAGAATAAAAAGGAAACAAATAAAGCTTAAAGTTTCTTACCAGTGTACCACAGTGTGAACTTCGTCACAGACAACGGCCACAACATTCTGCCTGTAATGCTGCTGTGAAAACATTTCCCGGAACTTTATGTCCCCAACAAATGACTCTGGACTTCCATATAAAAAGTGACATTTAATCTTGCCCTCAAAAATATCATTATCTTGTTTAGCACTTTCTCCAATGAAGGCAGCTTCAAAGCCGTGTGACCTCAAGTATGTAACCTGGTCTTTCACGATTGAGCTTAAAGGGGAAACCACAATTACCACTGGCAATGAAGGCATGTCAAATCCCCGGCAAAATAAAGCTTTACAAACGCTAGGTAAGATCTGAAAAGTCAGGCTTTTACCGAATCCGGTGGGCAAAGCTGCAAACACGTCCTTTTTAAGGACAACATTCTCAACGATTAAAACCTCCTCAGGCTTCAGTTCCTCGACGTCTGGAAAAGACTTAAGACCTTCAGAGATAGCTTCTCTAATATCTTTCCTTGTTGGAATAATGGCAGCCATGATTCTCCATAAGTCACACGTGCGTAGCGTAACCTACTTAACGCGGGTAATTTAGAAAGCCTTCCTACTTTACCTGTGGGAATGCATGCCCGCGTGCATACTTGTCTGGCTCGTTCACCAAAGAAATGCACGCAATCAGGAAACTTTCAGTTACAGAACATCCCCGTCCATTTGAAAATACTGTCTTCCCGAAAACTAACACATGGAAACGCATGTGAGGGTATTTTAAAGCTTGAGCTTTCAAGACGTATTCAATTCAAGCTTTCATCGATCACGCCTTCTATTTACGTTATTTACGATACCTTGTGATCGGTCAGAAGCAGAATTTTCTTGGTGCAAATGGGAATAGTCATCCCAAACGTTTTTCCGAGTCATCGATAGTTCCTTCGTTTCTGTTTGGGGAAGCAGAAAAGTGAAAGATTCCCTCGCGAAACCTTGGTGAACGAACCAGACAAGTATGGCGAGATAATAGCCGTCGTGTACGAACACATGAAAAGAACTCAGGAGATGCTGTTCGCTGATTGGGCACAATAATACAAAGGTTTTTTTGTGCCCAATCAGGAGCCGGCATCCGTTTGAATTTTTGGAAATGGTTCGGTAAGAGTCGGTACCCAGGGGCTCTTTCGCCCGTACTTGAAAACTTTCGTCCCGCCTATTCTCTCGACCCGACTGACTGCCCCTGGGTCTCCGAGGATGGGACATGTTGAGCCCACTCCGATGCGCCATCCTCTCCATTCAAATTACGCCATGGCCCATTTCTAGAAACCGCTTTAGGTCACATCATCTATCTTCCGACGCCTGGAGCATTTTCGACCTGATGGAACTGCAACACGCATTGAACGACAGTCAACTCTTGATGGTGGAAGTCAAGCCGAGCGATCAGTCGTGTCATTTTCTCTTTGTAGGCCCACCAAGGCCAAACACCCTTGTCATTTTAAAAGAAGGGATCCATTTTCACGGCATCAAAGATCCCATCACCTTTTTTGGCAAGTATTGTGATTTCCACTGCCGTTATTCATAAAAGCCCTTTTTGTTAATTATCCCATTGTCATTGCGATGTAAACAATAATTAAAAAAGGCATGAAAGATATGGTCTCTCCAATTGATTTTTTTTAGTGCTCCTCCCCCCCCCCCCCACAAAAAAAAAATTGGGCGCAACAACGCATGCGCCCAAGGTCAGCAGGCGGGCAAAGGTCAAGCCCAGGCACGCGCAGCCCACAGGAGTTTGGGCTTTAAGAGGCACCGCCCAGGTTTAGGGTTGTTTTAACTGCCCAGTTTTTAGGGTTGGATTTTTTTAAGGGCAGTGAGCGCACGCGCAGCCAAGGTCAAGCCAACGCAAGCGCAGTGAAGGTCAGCCAAGTGCGTGCGCGCCGAGAAAAAAAAGGGGGAGGAGCTAGGGTTATGTGTGGCTTATAGTTGGGCTGACGATGAAAGGTCTGTTGATGCCTCTTCAGCGTTTCCTGGCTAGCAAATGTCTTGACGCAAAGGTCACACACGGGCGTCTCACCATGAATCTTGGAAAGAGAAGGCGGCGGCGGCAGCGGCCCGCCCACCACCGTTTTTAGGGTTGGGATTTAAGGGCAGTCCGCGGGCGCAGCCTAAGGTCAAGCCAACCAACGTGCGCTGCGGGGTAAGGCTTAGTTGGGCTTAGTTAAGCTTATTCGTCGGCACCAGCTTAGGGTTATGCGGTGCGCTTAGGGTTATTGGTCAGCAGACGTGTGCACGGGCATCCATTGCATTTGGGGCGACTGTGGGGCTAGGGTTTACCTCCTCAAGGGGTTTAACAGGGTTAAGGGGCAGTGTGACGTTATTTTTTCTCGAAGTTTTATTGGCGGCCATCTTTGGTGGGGGTGGGGGAAGGTAGATTCTGGAACAGACCATACTACTAACAACACCTTCACTGCTAGATGGCTGTGCCCAAACTTTTGACATTCTTACTTATTTCACGATGCCTTTCTCTATCCATTAATTATTAATAAATTTAATATGGAAAGTAATCCGCATGATCCCAGGCTTCAAATTAACAGTGACATTACAGTCATGTTGGAGGAGAAACAAAATATGGTTAAGTTGTCAAGAACCTGAAAGTTTGGTAAAGAGTCTCTGGCGTGCTTCGTTTGAAGACCTTGGTGTTCTAATCTTGTCAATCCACTGGTATTCTGGATCATCATTTACAACCAGCTCCTCTACAAAGCCATGAATAACAACGGCTTTATGACCAAATGGGACAGAACAAGCTGAAATAGAAAGATACAGTGTTACCTTGATAATCCAGTTACCAGCGGGCCACAAAATTCTGGCTGTATTAACAAGGTGGCTGTATAAAAGGGGTCCTTTAAATAAGAAAATGACTGTCCAAACTTTGGTTTGGGCAACAATGAAGTGGTCCTAATAATGAGACCTGTGGACATATGGGTTGGCCATAAGGCGGGTTCCACTGTATCACAATCATATTTCAGTTGTTACCAAGAAGTTGAAAATGATTAAACATACAATACAGTAAACAGATTAGAATCTTTCAGAATTTACTATATTGCCATCAAACTGTGTCTAAAAACATATTAAATAGGATTATTTCCAGCTACTGCAGATTATTCTGACTCACTGTAGAAGAACTGCACACCACATGAACTCTGCCTAAACTTGTTTGAATCAACAAAAAAGTCCACTTTAACAGTGACCTTGACTTCACCACGAATACCTGCAATAAGAATGAAAAAATTGGTTGACTATACATAATATTTCAGTTGCAAAACAAATGATGAAAACTTGCAAAACTGTTTAATAAAAGCTTGGGTGGTGTGCACAACATAATAAACATCCCCCACAAGTGAAGAGAAACAGACAAACATTGTCAAACTAACCTACTATGTGAAACCACTATGGCCTAAAATACACTTTTAACAGGAACCATGGTTTTATCCAGATGGGTGTCAAGGCATCTGGTGGACAGCCACTTATTGATTAAAGAAAATTGCTTTATTTTTCATGTTTGTCTTAAAAACTGCTCATTTGATCAGGTCCCATTATAGCACATTTTTATTTTTGGATACCACTTCCTGGCTAAAAGCCTGACATGAACACATATAATGAGTTGGGTAAGCCAATTTTACACAGTCTTGAAACTTGTTTTATTCCAAACTCTTTACGTGAGAGTCATGGACGGTGTTGATAACCTCTTACTGAAATTTTATACAAAGGGTCGTCATTATTCGTAAGATGCTGATGTCAGGCACAGCTGGGCATGTATCTTACAAGTAATGATGACCCTTCATATGAAATTTCAATAACAGGTTATCAACACCCATACCCGCAAGACTGCACAGTTGTTAATAATTAAGTTTTCAACATACCATGCATTGTGTCATATATTGGAAACCATCCATCAATACTTCCAGGAGGATCTTGAGTCAGTAGAGGACCTAAACTAAATAAATAAATATTTACCTAGGAAATAATAACTAGTTATTAACATCTCAAACCAAGAACTTGCAGAAAGGAAAGGCTGAAGTTTGAGATTTTCCTGTAAATATCAAATGTTCAAAGTTAATAAATTGTTTATTGTTTATTTTCAATTGTTGGCTTTTTGCTTTGCTTTTGGCAGGCTTGTATTCTGTCCATGGGCATTAGAGGAGAATAATTCCTTAGAATTAGCTTATCAGAGCATGTTTTAGATCAGTTACAAACACAAGCCACATGAAAATTATTATTAAATAATTATTACAAAATCACCTAGACAGCATTATTAAGAAGCTCTTTGCACATATTGCAGACCTATAGTATATAATAAAATGTCTTCATGAAATGTTAAATTATCATAATGATTATTGTCCAGATTCGAACCCATGGTGCCAGTGTAGTATTCTTCTTATTAACTGAGCTATCAACAGAGGTCATGAGTTTGAATCCTGTTCCATTTTTTTTCAGGCTATATTTCACAACTGGTTAATTAGGTTGTGTGCACAATAATTATTGTGATGATCAGTCGTATCTTTGTAACTCTATGACTGTTGTCATACACAGGCTGTCATATCCTATGTATTGATAACTTCATTTCTGCATGCTGATTGGATCAAAGCAAATTATTCATGAAATGCCACAAAACTGCAATGTTTGTTTTTCCAACATCTTACCTTTCCAATCGCATCATGGGCTGTGACAGTGTCATGGTCCATGATTCTATTATTGATCACACAAAAGAAAAAATCTCAGAATAACCTGAAATATGAATTTCTAATTCATAATTTTTAGCCAAAGGTGAATCAAATTTTAAAAATGTAATGATTGATTATAAAACTCCATTCATCACTGAATGATGTAGGATTTGTGACAGTTTGCGGAACTTTACCTGATCTGTAGTGGTTCATCTTGAAGCTCCTCATCATCAGCCTGGTAAAGAAATAAAGCCACATGCAATTATGATAATTATGATGCATAATTATGATATGCAATTAGATTATGAGCTCAAGATTTCTATGAGTTACAAGTAGTTGATAAGGCTGAAGGTCAGATAAAAAAATTCTACTAAAAAAAATTACAATAGATTATATGCTTTCGATTTCTTTTAGGTGATAGTTAATAAAAACCTTTGGCCTCATCAACTACACCTCATAGAAATCTTGAGCTCAGAATCTAATCGTTAATATAATTAGTAGAATTCTCAAAAATTAAATTTCCTTCAAATAATGATTTCAGTTATTTCTTGTCTTCGGACTGTATTAAATTTCACGTTTTAGAGAATTAACTTTAGAGAAATGTCAATTTGACAATTGCAGATGTGCATATGTGCACGCACTTATCAGTTTGCTTAAAAAAATTCAAGCTTAAATTTGAATAGGCCATTTCCAAGTTCCCTTGTGGCTCTGTTTCAAAACAAGTCTAAGTGCGAAACTTTTCTAATGAAAGTGACTTTGATTTGCATGAAAATGAAACTGCATGCAGAACTCATTTTCATATGAATGGTTTCACACTTAGACTCATTTTGAAATAGAGGCACAAGTTGAGAACTCGGAAATGGCCTATTCTCAAAACCGTACATCCCCTCCTTTTAATCTCTTTGGGAATTTGATAATCCATTTGTTTCTAAATGTTCTTTCAAAACTCTGGAGAATGAGGAAACGTTGATATTTTGTCAACCACGCCAAGCCAATTGCACACTAATGGCTGATAGTGTGCAGTGACTCAGACAATCAGATTACAGCATTTGTATTTAAATACAAAACAACAGGAATTCTACTAAATTTATATAGTTATGGTCTCCTTTGTTTAAACTTCATGAGTAATTAATGAGTTTGAGAAGGTTATATATTAAATTAATTCATTTGTATCTCAAATCTGAACCATTCAGAGTTCCAAAAAGGATTAAGAGATTTCTTGCACACATCTGTCTTGTACAATATATTACCAAGTCGAACCTGACAAAACCATTGAGCAGATTAAAAAAAACTAGCAGGAAATTAAAGGGGCAGTGTCACGCTATTTGGCAACTTTATAAAAAGCTAGGTGTCTTCGCATCAGTTGAATTCCAAAAATAATGGTCTAGTTTTGTTATTAAAGACTATTTGAAGGTACTGAAACTGTTTCCTGTCCCCTGTCGCTACGGATGGTAAGGATGGAACTGGATTGAAACTTGAAAAAATTCGCCGATTTTTTCAAGTTTTGATGCTACGTCTTCAAAAAATCCTCAATAAATTTATTATGGTTAGCCCTCTCTGAGAAAATTCATTTGATATCTTCGTCGTAGCTTTACAGAAGCCTTTTTTTTATGATTAAAGCCTCAAAGTAATGATTTTAGCGCAGAATTGACCTAAAACAGCAAAATTCTCGTGACACTGCCCCTTTAAAGATGATTTTCAGTCTGTACTGCACAGTCTCAGCGCCCCAATGTTTGTGTCTCACGCGATGGAATGCAAATCAATCTTATTTGTTACGAACCACATACCTTATCTTTAACGCATTTCAAATTCTTTTCCCAACAGCTCCAATGATTTTACAGTTGATAAGTTGTAATTGATTTTCAGCAAGTGATAAAGAAAGAACGAAGCAAAAAAGTTTCCATCCATAACAAGGGAGAATGAACATGAAACTTTGAATTTACTTCATGTAGGTAGTTGTATTAAAAATGTTATATTTTGTGATGTCTAGCATGAAACAAAACAAAAAATGTAAAAAAACTCTTGAGTGTGCAGTACAGACTGGAAATCATCTTTAAATATATATCACATGAATAGCAGAGTTGCAAGGAGCAAAAACTAACATCAAATAATTTATACAGGCTTTAAGAATCACATAATATATAATGGTAATAGGACTGAGTGGAGTACAATTCAGGGAGTAATCAGGCGAGTAATTTCAAAATCGGCCGAGTGTGCAGCGTGAGGCTGATTTGAAATTAACAGCACGATTACTCTCTGAATTGTACGACGCAAAGTCCTATTACCAATTAATCGTACCTATAACAAAATTAGAGAAGAATATAACTGTAGTATAAACTATTTGACAGGTTAATATATTCAACTTCTAAACTAGATGCTGTAAAAAAAAACCCATTAAAGTGCAACTAGCACGCGCTTGATGACCAATTACTCAAGCATGACGCGTACAACTGTCCAATTGCAAGTGCATGACGTGTGCAACTGTCCAATTAATGCCTTAATCAGGGCAGTTGATGACCAATTAGATTCGAGAATTTTGTTATAGTTACAATTAACATGACAGTAATAAAAGCTTATAAATACAAGATTGTATCCTGAAAATCGGTTATCACAACAAACCATGACATAAGGCAGCAAAAATTCATTCCTTTATGATGCACATCTAGATCCTGTCCAATAATGCATACACTTGGAGTGCCAGACATGCTGAAGTCATTTCATAAGCTCTTGTTATGTTTCCAACAGCTCAATTCTTTATTTACACTATAAAGGGCATTTATGTACCTGTCAAATCGAAGCTTTGAACAGCATCCCCACCCCGGGCATATCCTGGGCATTTGATGCCTTTTCCTGTTCGGGAGGGAGGGCATTTTGATCACCACTCATAGGGGGTGGGGAATTTGATTGTTAGCCTCGATTTCATGTTATGAGTCACCCTGATTGCACATGGGTTGATAAATCATGGCGGAGATGGGGGAGACAAACTTTGATGAATCAAAGGAAAATATTGCGTATTTGTGGTGGATTGGTTTAAAACTAAAGGCCTACACAAGCTGTGTTTCATATTTGGAGGTGTTTAACCCTATTAGTGCCGCGGGCCGATGTGATCGGCCTTTGAGTACACTCCTATAAGTGCCAGGGCCGATAAAATCGGCCCAAATATGTAATGAGCAATTTGACTGGTTGCTAAGGCATAGCTAACAGATTGAGCCAATAGAAACTGCTGTACTATTCAACTGTTTTACTTTGTTATCTTCGCCAAGCCTTCGTGTTTATAGTCGTAAAGCCGAGTATCGCCCGCGTTTGAGCGTCTCCATTTGCAAAGAAGACCAAAATATGGCGGCCATTTTGTTATGCGGTTCTTTTCTCGCAATGTTACGCGCCCTCAGGACAAAACAAGACAAAAAAATCTTGGAAATGAAATTATCAGGACATTAACATCTCTCGATAATTGATAAATTTCCTTCGGCATGTCGATAAAGGACAAAATCCACTGTTTATCATGCCGCGTTTTCGAGTAACTTCGACACTTCCATGGATCGTGAGCGCGGCAATTAAATCTAAATGGGTATTAAATATTTTGCTTCCCATCGTTTATTTTGGATTATGGAACAAGGTTAACCTTCGCTTTTCAAGAGTTTGTCTGTTGTGGATGGCTAGGATGCAAACATAAAGGTAGAATTCAACATTTATTTCATGTGTGTTTTCAGAGTAGCGTTAAGTGAGAGAAAATAATTTGCTCTGGCATTTGTAGGCCACCCCCCTCTAAAAAGCTGGCGCAAACAGGGTTAAGAACGATTTATATTTATAGTATATAAATATGTCAAATAAACCATGTTCACATGCACAGCTTCAGAAGCATAATAGAAGCTACTGGAAAGTTAAAACAGTAATCTGGTAATTTTTCTTGGGGGTGGGGGCATTTGAACAGCTTTTCGGCCCGGTGAGGGAGGAATTTGAACAAAAAATTTTCAAAAATTCAAATGCCTGGGGAGTTTCGAATTGACTGGTACATTACACACATTTTATATTGCAAAGTAATGAAAATAGTAAAATATTAAGAGACATTAGGCCGTAAAGAAATAAAATTCATATGTGAACGGTGACCAAAGTAGCAAGAGCTTTGTGGTTGGACCCCGTCATGGTCAATGGCAGCATAAAAAATTAATAGTAACAAAACAACATAAACCTCAATGTTAATAAATTTCTGACCTCTGCAAAAGCATCCGCCAAGTCACTTGAGCGATCCATGACAGGGAGATCTCGAGCAGCCACAATCCGTACTTTAATCTTTGCTGGCATTTTTTTGAGAACACTGCACTGTACTCCAAATTAATGTCAAATGATGAATTGATTAACAGTTTTCACTTCGCAGACAACCCATTATGCAGGTGTTTCTCGGGCGTCATCTTTCTTGCAAAGTAACCAGAGCTTCGGTTAATATCATTGTTGCTTCTAGTTTACCAAATCTTGCAATTTCAAAGTTCTAAACGAGCACAAAATTGCATTTCAACCCAACATTTATGACATTTTCTCAATTTGATCATGTTGGACTTCTTTCACCCTCAAAATACACCAGGCGTTGCAAACTTCCCAGAAGTCCTTGTAACCGAAGCACGTGTCGCATCACTGTTATAGCCGCCATCTTGTTTTCGTTCAGCGTTGTAGTTTCTTCTCCGCGAGAAATTTAACATTATGGCTGGCGAAGGAGGCGTTGATATCGATTTGTACGCCACAGTAGATGAATTTGAGCCAGAAGTTGCTGGTCAGGTAAGATTTAGGGAAGATTTCGTGCACGGAGAGTTCTAAAACGTGCACAAACCAAAATCGATAGAGCACGCTGTGACTCTGATCAAGTGTCACTTTTAGCTTACCTTTGCGACATAATCTCATAGGCATGTTTATATTTTGTAGTGTAAATATTGTTGCGAGAACACACGAGGAACACCATGATGTGTATTCAGTTGCAGCGTCTTATAATTCAGAAATAATTGTATTGAAGAACAAATTTCTGGTCTTTTTGCCGACTTTGTCGAAATAGTTTTTATAGCTGAGAAGCACAGACTTGAACTAATCTTTGTATGTTTCGCTTACAGCTGAGTGTGGTGCGTCTTTTTTTCTGAAAAGGCATACGTGTACTTTTTGATGTTGCCTTCCTAAGGTAAACATCGAAACAACGAAAAAAATCGATCGGTTTCTTAAGGACGCAGAATTTTAGGAAAACAGCTTTCGAAGCTGCAACTGCACGATTCCTGTTTATGTTGGGAATAGTGCAGATTATAAGTGTGGACAGGTGAAAGCGTATACACTTGTGAAACAGATTATGTGGCATGAATTCAGCTCAAATGTAGATTGAAACAAACATGGTCTAAGTAGAGCCCTGTAAAATTTTGAAGCTATTATATTACTGCCATTTTATCATGGCCTCATCATTTCTGGCAACCATCTTATACATACAGCTTTACACCAGTGCTATAGTTCTGGCTGTTGCCTAAGTATTGTGAGAGTAGGAGCTGGCTTGAGATTTGTGAACTAGACAGTTTGTCATATAAAGTGTCCAGCAAAGCTGTCAGAGGAAGTGTGCAGTTCAGAAGTCAGGGATCATTATTTCATTCTCTAGTAGTCTGGAGGGTATCCAGTCACGTGCCTCGTCACCAAGGAATTTCACCGCTAATGAACTTGCCACCAAACACCAAGAGAAAGATAAACTAGAGTATAGTAGTCAAGGTGTATTAGCTGTTCAAACTGAGTCACTACAATGTCAATGAAATTGCAAGTTTGTTAGCTTGCAAATTTCGATGTCATCATGTTGTCAGTGATGTGATAGTGTGATATGGGGTGTCTAACGAGAAACCATAGCTTTCTATAATTCAACTATATGTATATTTCTTTGAAAACTGACTCTGCTGTTAATGCTCAGTTGCTTCACTGTTGCATTTGTTTGTTTCATAAAAGGCTTCAGCTCAGCAATCAAACAATCTCGACCATACACAAGCTGTGTGAGTTATACCACTAAACAAAGCAGAAAAAATTTCAGTCTCTTTGGCTTGTGGTTTAATGTCGATAGATTGTTAGTAATTTGGACTTTGGTGGTGAATTCAAATGGTATCGAGACTTCCTGGTGGCAAGGTGACTGGTAAATAGTCTGGAAACAAATAGTCCGCTTTATTTTTGACAAAATTGAAGCAGTCTTGAAAATGTATCACTGTGGATGGAATGTTATTCTTTTAATTACATCCTTTTGAAAGTTGCAGGTAATTAACATAGCACATGTGATCAATTTTTTGTTAGCATCATATGACTGAAGGCTTGGACTTGTATGATGATGTACTTACCACAACAGGACCAGTGGAAGATGAGGCATTGCAGTCACATGTATGTAAAAGTGATTTTATGAATAAACAGCTAGTTAGAATTAAGTGGTCTGCCCTCTAACCTTTTCAATTTATAGGCCAATATCACTTTTAAGTATCCCAGCAAGCTGCTTGAAAGCCAGATCTGCAACATAATTGATACCCATCTGAACAGCTGTGGCATAAAAAGCTGTAAACAGTGGGTTTTAGCAAGAGACTATCGACTGAAGGAATGCTTACCTCAATGACTGAAGGATGGAAGACAGCAATTGACAGTGGTCTGACAGTTGGAGCAGTCTTTATAGATTTCCAAAAAGCTTTTGACACTGTTCCCCATTATATTTTATCGTATAAATTACACGCCATTGGAATATCAGGATCTCTTCATGAATGGCTAATGAGCTATCTGACTGATAGATGCCAATTTACTGAAGTAAATAATTGCCGGTCTGTCACTGACTATGTACGCTATGGAGTCCCTCAAGGCTCGCTTCTTGGCCCCCGGCTCTACACCATATATGTCAATGATCTCCCTGACTACATCGATTCGGGAGATCTATACATGTACGCAGATGACACTACAGTCTACTGTATTGGACCAAATGTTGACCAGGTTATGTTATCATTAAATAAAACAATGGAGCAAGTCCTCATGTGGAGCATTAGGAATCAGCTAACTATCCACCCAATTAAAACTGAGGCAATGATACTAAGTAAAACCTCTTTTGTTGGGCCTATACCTCCCCTCTACTTTAACACTGGCCATATTGACTTGGTTAATTACACCACTTGCCTTGGAGTTAAAATTGACAATAAGCTGACATGGTCTGTGCACATTGACTCAGTGAAGAAATCTTTTACGCAGAAGGTTGGAGCGTTGAAGAGAATGAGAATCCTTCCGAAGAAGGTTCTCGAGGAAATATACTTTAAAACAATTATCCCCAGTGTAACGTATGGAATTTCAGTATGGGGAAATTGTTCTCCTTCTGCACTGAACTCTCTAAACCATATTCATGCAAGAGCAGCTCGTATTGTGCATAAACTCGATTCAACGATGGCAGATGACACCTGTCTCATGAAATCCGACTGGCTGCCCATCTCTTACTTCTATAAAAAATCTGTACTGTTTCTCTTGCACAAAGTATATTATGGAACAACGACCCAATCGATATGTGAACTGTTTTCTAAAAGAGTTTCTTCTAGATCTCCTCGTGTTCCTAACCAATTTAATATCATTAGATTTAGATCAGAGACTGGCAGGAACTCCCTACGATACAGAGGTCCTGTTATTTGGAATTTTGTAAATAGATTAGTCAAAGTACCTGAAAGTTTTTATTCTTTTAAACAAATTTTACATAAATATGTTAAGATTATTGACAATTTTTCATTTGATAAAGGGGCAACAGTTGTCGCTAACAAAAAGGATCATTTCATTTACTTTTAGATTTATATGTTAGTCTTAGTGAATACCGTATTATTTGTATACATTAGTTCTAAGTTATTATTGCAATTTTTATAAATGTAATTCTTAATGTTTAGTGTAGTAGGTCCACATCAGCCTTCTGGCTGCCTTTAACACAACCTACTCATCAAATAAAGTATGTATGTATGTATGTCTTATGTTGTTGTTGTTTTTTTTCAGTTATTTTATTCTATTCAAATTGTGAGTTGGAATTTTTCTTAACATTGCAATAGGGACATGTTTCAGATTCTAAGAAGAGCAGACATCCATACAGACAGAACTAAATTCAGGTCTCTCCACACATTATTGTCTTCATGTCCTATTGTAAAAAATCATTGTTCCAGAAAAGAGAGGGTCTCGGGTCAAAAAGCTGACAAGCTCAGTGACCTGACTTGATAGGAAACTACTGATGATTTGATGAACCTGATCACTATTAACCTATTAGAATTTCCCACCTGCACCTTGTCATGAAAACATATCTGGAACCCTGAAAAATTCTTAACATGTGATGCTATTTTTGTTGCTTGGCTGACTTCAATAGTTGAACCAGTTGTCAGGGCTGTCAAAATAAGCCGGCAACCAGCACATTCCACCTGCTATTCCGCATACTGTGACAGCTACTTCGAACATTAGTAGGTCAGTTCGAAGCGTGATATTGGAGAAATAAAATGAAAATTGCTGCCAACTTTTTGGATGGAACCTGCTACTCAAAAACCTACTGACAACCCTGAGTTGTTGCAGTGGTGATGGATAAAATTTGCCCTTGTGGCTGTCACTGCAACTAGTGGTGCTCAGCACAGACTTCATGGTGCCATCTCAGCTATAAAAGGCTTTTTTGGTGAAAAAAAACAGAGCTTTCCTTAAAAATGTCTTCTTCCTATTGTCATTCATTTGCTTTTATTGTTTGTCCCCCTCCCCCCCAACAGCATACTAATACTCTGAATCTGGTTTTGGCTGATGTTGAATTTCAATCAAATGCAAGGATTTGTAGCCTTTTCTTGTAGCAGCAGGAGGTCAGATTGCAATTGAGATCCATGTTCTGTTTCTTTCCCCTATCACATTCTGTATCTCTTTACTTAGACTTCCTGAAGTGAACGATCAAAACTCCAGGTCTGATACCAATCTTAACTGTTAATAATTCATTATATTTTAGTATGAAGAGGATGTCGCTGATGTCATTCCACCAGATGCACAACCAGGTAAAATATCACATTAATTACTATAGGGAATCAAACTGAGATCACAACTTCATAGTACAACATTATTGATCAGACATCAAATTAGGATTTCAAAGTAATAGCTTGTCCCTGAGATGAGTGTGTTGACTGTTTTCTAACATGTAGTTTGGATTCTGCGACAAAACAAGAAAGCAACTTGTTTACTTTGCTCATGAAAATTTAAATTTTCATCAATATATTAGGCTAGTTCTGTGTTTCTATCAAGTTATAGAAACACAATTTTAAACCGACCAGCATGCATATTTTCTTTGGGCTATTTTCTAAAGGTTTTTAATCCTTACAACTGTCTTTGTCTCAGGAGCCTATGAATACAAATCCTACACGACAGTCCATCCTAAATCTGTTGCTGGACGATCTACGCACACCTACTATGAAAGGAACAAAGGAAAGCCCCTTTATGTTGGCAACTTGACATGGGTAGGTCTGACTTTTGATTCTTGCTGGCCAGCATACGATCATTATTAAGATATGACTGGTAATCAAAGTTATTTATCCATCTTAAGCAGCTGTGAAATAAAAGCCTGAAAAAGTTTCAGCCTTCCTTCTGTTAAGTAACAAAACTAGTATTGATTTGGACTGCCTTGAAGAACTTTATAAATTATTCAAAGTACTAAACAGAATACAGTTGTGATGATTTGACTGATTGATGCAACATAATTTGACCAAAAATTTAGAACTACTGCCCTGCAAGATTGACATCATAGTCTCTCATGATCAGCAACATAAATGTGCTGTCAATATCTTCCAAACTTGTCACAAAATGGGTTGTATTTAGGGCTCACAAAGCTACTAGAGCTGTAGTAGGTGAGGGTTGAACTTCAACCTTCCTGTGAAATCACTGATTAGAAGACAAGGTGTTATTTTATGTTATTGTTTAGTGGACAAATGATCAAGAGCTGACAGAATTCCTGCAAGAGTGTGGTGTAACAGATCTGATAAATATCAAGTTCTTTGAAAACAGAACCAATGGACAATCTAAAGGGTGAGTTGGAAGCACGTCAAGGTGGCTTTATTTTAACTTGTATGAATTGTCATGAAATAGAGTTCTAGCTGAGTTCAGTGGAACACAATGTAACGCCTTTTTGTGTTTTTATGAAATATTTGCCTATCAGTAGACAATTTCAAATGTTGACCTTTTAATTTTCATTGATCTAACAGAAATTAGATGTTGGATATTTTACAATCCTTTCCCAATCCTTGACAATATTCATTATACACACTTTTTTCTTTGGGTTTTTTCACTACCATTTTAACTTTCAATTTTTTGTGAGAGCTATTTTCACTAATTTATTCAAAAACTGGGTTGGTTCCAAAAGTTAACAGCATATCCCCCTTGATCCCAACAGAATTTAAGGTAAGTTTGAAAGGCTTGACGTGCCAAGAATTTTGCTTAAAGTCCTTTTTCTTAGACATCATATGCAAAAGCAGTTTGATAATATTATCACAATCTACAGCAGATATTACATATGACTATTAAATCCATAAAGAGGATCAATAAAATTCAAAATTATTGGCATTGTTATTGTCATGAACTCTGGACTGATACTGAAGTAATCTTTTGGGTGGTGCTATTTTTTGGGTGAATATAAGTCTTTTCCAGCCATTTTTTGGGTTTGCCATTTTGTGGCTGGATTGAAGCATAAATGCCTCCTTTTTCATGCTGCCAACTAAATGCAGTTTGTTGGGTAGATTTTAAACAGGGGTTCTGCAGCTAGATCTGTTTTCTGCAGGCAACATTTCCAAGCAATCACCACTGATTGTTTACTGACTCTGTGTGACCTATACTCACAGCTCTTTCTGCTATTGAGTGACAACGGATAGCTGTGGGTTCAGGGCACGGGATGCAAGGAAGAATACAACAAACTTACAACAAAGAAATCTGTTAAACAACCGAGAAAAAATTCTCATTTGTGTTTGGTCGATCTTTGTCAAAAAAGTGTCTCAAGCAAATTTTGTAAGAAAGAAAAATATTTTGTGAAACATTTTGTAAAAGAAGACAGAAAAATATTCCAGATAACTCTGTACCATAGTGAAACAATCACAGGAAAAATGCAAATAAACTTTTATTGCCCTCTATTTAAACAATAACTTAAATACAGAATTTGTAAAATCTTTAAATTAAACTCAACTGTATTTTTGTTTATTTTGTATAGTAGAATGTTGTATATAATATTTAATTGAGATTAAATTATAGTAATATATAAAAATATTTATAACTAACTTGTTCAAAAGAAAGATGCTATTGTATAGGCAGACTACCACTGTAAGTAATAACGTGATGTTTGACAGACAGTTAACTGAGAACTGGAAACTCTGGTTAGATGGAATTATATTTGGAAAGTGTATTCATTTGTAAATGCGCATCTACCGATAGCATTCTGATATGAGATGAAACTGCTATTGTAAATAAACTGACAATGCTATTCCTGCATTATTTATTCAATGTTCAGAAGTCTTCCATCCTTCAATTTTACGTAAGGTTTCTCTCAACCCATTAAAGTTAAGATGCAACTAAAAAGGTTACACATTCCACGTTTTGCACAATTAAACTTGCATCCTGATATCTGCAATTTGTGTGGGTAATCACATGAATTTGAGCGCAATTTGCAAGTAACAAGCACAGTAATTTTTTCAAAGGCTAACAAAATCACATGAGCCTGTAGGGCAAGTGCAATTTTCAGTCTTTGAAAAATTTACAAGTGCTCATTTATTCCAAATCCAAGAGAATAATCTTGTGATTACTTGTTGACAATGCACTTGAAAACATACTTTTTAAGGCTGTCTTCCTATTGTTTTCTAAGTTGAGGTGCAGTGTGTGTGATATTCTAATACCTTCAAATATTTCTGAAATATTTGCAAAACTTCTTAAAATATTTGAAAAGTCTTTAGCAAGCTTCGGTGATCTTCAACAATCTTAGAAATCATGGCAAATTTTTGCCAATAATCAGAGATCTTCAGAAGGATTCAACTGATTGTCAGAGATAATAGGGTGATTTTTGTTGACATTCAGAAGGGTTTAGCTTACAATGGAAAGACACTAATACGCTCTTTGCAACAAATGATGATCACATGGTACAAAATCCACCATGCTGGAGGGCAAGCTCATTAGTATTCCTGCACTGAAACATTAAAGCAAAGGCCAGTCAAGCTTGACTGTTTAGGGTCTCTGTTTTAACATCTCAGTGGGGGAATAATAATGAGCTTGCCCTCCAGCATGGCGGTTTTTGTACCATGTAATCGTTTGTTGCAAGAGGCCTATTAGCTTTATCTCTCTTTGGAAGGCCTTGGACGAACTTCAATCACATTCAAAATAGCCACTTGGTGCCCAATTTGGGGAGTGGGGGATTGGGCCTTGCAATTTGTGAGCATCACAACATCACAATTTGCGTACTAAATTTAAAGACAAGAGAGAAGGTGTGAGTCTACCATAAATCTTCCTAACGTTCGCAATCTCACATAGGAACATTCAAAGGATATCGCTCAGTATGAAATAATGGTTATTAGTATATACACACTCAGTGATCTTGGTGATTTAAGCAATCTGATTGGTTCGCTATCTCGGACTATTCAACAATATTCACCTCCTAGCGAGTGGATAATGTGTGAGCTCGGTGTTTTTCCCGTTTTTTTTAGAGAACGATCTTTTAAAAGTCGACAAAATCCTAGGGCTGACTTTTTTTAAGGCAAGAAAAGACTTGGAAGGATTCAATACGGCGTTTTTCAATGTACTGTAGCAGGAGTTTTGTGCTCGATGGATTGTTTACAACTCCCGTGTATTCGCGTAGAAGAAGCCGTTTCGTGAACTCAGCGTTTTCTAAGAAGAAAATTTTGGCTCAAAAATCGAAGTTTATTTATGACAAACAAATTTAAAAGGAAATGTTTGCAGAAATTCTACATTTCAAGTAAACAGGAAAAAGAATGATACAGGAAGACGACCTCTTACCTCGAGCAACCGAGCCGCCATTTTTGTCAGCACTTCATGCGAAGAACGACACAATAAACTTGGCGAGTCAAAAGAAAACAACACAGCTCTACTTTTTTTCTCAGGTAAGGAAACAGTTCAAACTTTTAGCGATTCCATTGAAGCCATTACGCTGTTGTTTGCGAAATGAGTAAACTTGTGAATTGCCGTGTTTGAAAATTCTGCAAAGATCTATTTTTAAACTTACGCGTGATTTGATCTGTCAATCAAATCCTACTTTTGAATGGTTTCCTTTCTGATTTTGTTGAGATCACTTCGTGTGTATATACTAAAACAATTATTCTTCTCAATCTCGGTGAATAGTGGCTTTGGGAATATTTACCTCGCCGCTTTCGCGGCTCGGTAAATATTTTGCCACTATTCACCTCGATTTCAAAGAATAATTGTTAAATATTCTCTTAGGTTCCGGGGAGTTTTGGTAATCATTGATTCATTTATTTGCTGTTCACTGATTTTAATAGTGGTAACTTGTTGTGTTGCGTGGGTGATTTATTTGGAAAGCCGTGTTATTTTGCTTTGATTTTGCGTTATCAGGTTAAAACAAAAGAATTATTTAACAGTCTTTTTTCATTGTTTATTTGATGATAAATCACAGAATAGCCGATACCATAAATCACCGACGTATTTCCGGTCGTCGCTTCTTCGGCTGAATTATTTGTGCGTGGCTTAGTGTGATACTTTGTTGAGACAAAAGAGTTCATGAAAACAGTTTGCTGTTTTATTGTTTGGTGCTTCAGATACAATCAAGTGCTCAGGCCATCTCCAAGCCAGTTCGAGGAACGTCCTCTTGATAATGACTAGCAAGAAGCGCGTTCGGAAATTGTTCTCAGTGGGTGACCTCAGACAAGAGGTAGCCAAAGAGAGCTCTTTGCAGCAAATTAACTCTTGGCCAATTTTATTGCCTTTCCAGCAGAGAACGCCCCTGAGTCGAATCCTAGAACTCTCGAGGCTTGGCTTGTTGCAAGGTATGGTCTCCTCGCAACCGTTGAAGTGTTATCCTTCACGCGATCTACGATGTCCTTGCCAGTAAATGAACAACAACGTTTGCTGGCGACATTTCATCCCCACGTTGATGGCAAACACTTCCATGTGCTGCATAGAGTTGCCAGGACTTCGCCGGCTGTGTTGAAGAGTTGTCAAACGTCTGTTCTCACTCCGCCTACATCCTCCTGCTTGCTTTGTCCTAATTCACCTCATCTTAGTGTACATCACAAGTGCAACGTAGTCGTGTACGGTTTTGGTGGGGCAAGGCAAGCAACAAAGATCTCCACAAGGTGTCACCGTTGCCGCAACATATACAACTACACCTCCTTCGGAAACGCTGGGGATGGTTGGACTCTGTATCAGGAAGCCAGGGATTTGGTTGAGGCTAGTGACGCCTGCTTCGTCGAAAGACCTGTGTTCGAGCTGCAGTGTTCGCTAGCGTAAGTTTATAGCTTACATATACTGTATTCTAGCTTGTTATTTTATCTGATAATTCCAGTGTAATGTGATGATTATTCCAGTCTAATGTGATGCTAACTCACCCATCGTTATTATTTTGTTGAAGAAAAAGGAAAAAGGGTCTTTTTTTTTCTTAAGCTTAGGTAATCTCTTGTTATATTCTATCCTGCTGATACTATTTTGTGTTTTCGTACCGCAGAAATCACTGCTGGGTGAGTTTTAGTGGTTGGAGTGTCGCATATAATGAGGCATTTGGTCTACTTTCTAACTCCCTCGGTAAGTCAGTGTTTTCATACCAGAAACTCATAAAGAAACGTGTACCTCTCATATGTTTGCTTTGTCCAATTCTCATGATTTTTCGTATTTGAAAGAGCCATATTTGGAACGAGAGTAAAAGATAACTTACCAATTTAAAGTATATTCGATGTGACGTAATATAACTTCGCGTTCTTGCCCGCTTTAAAAAAACGGCCGACAAACAGGGTAAAAACTCTCGAAAGCTTTAAAAGGTTGAAAACAGAAAGCATACTGAAATACTGAGCAGGAAATTGGCGCACCACCCTGGCCAAATGCAACACTTTGAAACCCATTGATCACCACGGATCTTCGTGGTACCTTGGTGACCCTGATCTGAGCAAGTAACCTTATACTGCACATAGGCTTTTAAATTATATTTCTCATATTTAAAGCCTATAGAATAAACCGTAAAAGATATTTTTGAGTAAAATTTGTTAGCTACATGTCGAAAAGCGTCCAAAAACTAGTATCCATTGTCAGCATCTTTGCTTGTCAGGTTTGCTTGGCCTTTACTTAGAGAATTCATTTTCTTAAAAGAATGATGTCTCTCAATAGTGTACTGCTAATACTTTTAACCACTTTTTAGTGCAGTATAGCTAATCCCTTACTGTCGTCTGTATTAGAAGTGTCTGAAAAACAAGTAGCGGCTACATTTTGGAACGGTGAGCTGGAAATTGAAGTTAGGGGAACAGGGCAGCTTGACTTCTATGGATTATTCCATAAAAACGACGACAGGGAGGCAGTGATGGAGGAAATAGAAAGAAGAAGATCTCAGTCAGTTTATGTTCACTGTTCTGAGGATTGTTCACAAGACTGCAAAAAGAGGGGTATGTTTATCAAGTGAATTAGTTACTTTAAATGGTGCATTATTAGTAGGATGCTGTGCCTGTTATCTAGTGATAACTCGTAATAAATTACTTCAGGGCAATGCAGAGTCTATTTATTACTTATCCACAGAAGATTTCTGTACATTTATTTTTTGCTAAACTGTTTCTTCATATAGTTGCATATTTTCCTGGTATGATTTGTTGACACACAAGTATTGTTGCTTACTGTATCTCTGTAAAATATCATTTGATATAATATTGCCACTGATTTATAATATTTATTATTAACATTTTTACTTTAACTTCTTTACGTCTCTTTTGTCAAAAACTGCTATAATTTGTCGGGTTAATGCGTTTTTGAAAATTCTATGCGTTTTAATAAAGTCAATTTGATTCGTACAATTTCATGTTTAAGGTAATTCCCTAGTAAAAGAATGTAACATAGACTGTTGATGAAACTTGCTACACTGATGTAACAAGTCAAGAAGATGATAAAAAAGTAATAAAAAGTGGGGGTCACCGTGCTCGTTTTGACGTCACAATGCTGACAAATACGGCCATTTAGGACCCTTTTACAAAAACCGCAGGCGGCCCAAAACTAGACAAAAAGGAGAGTTTTTTTCGATGATGCATGTGGTATCACACAGAATTGGACATTAATGTATTGTTTATCCACTTACGTACCAGAAAAATGCCTTTTAATGCCCTTGTTTTTACTTTACGCTACAAAGTAGAATTCAATTAGACACGCGCTATTCGACCCGTGATAGCTCAATCCGTACAATTTAGTAAAATTGACAAAAAACTGAACATAGATTTGTGCCAATTTTTTTCCCAATCGAAAGAAAGTAGTGTCCTTATTAAAATCATGGAATAAAAAATGGGGGTCACCGTACTCGTTTTTGCGGTAGAGCTGCAGAAAGTGCGCAACAAATGCATTTTCTCCGATTTTTGAGAGAGGACTGGGGCGAGTGTCATATTAGAATGTATGTGAAAGGGGGAAGAAAGTATTAAAAAATCCGTTTTTACAGAATTTACTTCGAGATATCATCTTTAGGACACAATGTGATAAAGAAAGCGTTTAAATGAAAATCAAAGTGAGTAAGCACAAGTTAAACATCTACTATCGAGGTTCTCCGAGAGGAAGTCGAACTCAGCAACTCGCATACTGCTTACGTAATGCACATTCCCAACACATTGAGTCTCACCTCGGCAAGAAATAACAGCAAGCAAAAATTCCCATAGCGTTTCTCTTCAGTCAACTTCATTTTAATAATGTTACTTCACATGCTATTTTTTACGGCGGCCATCTTGTTATGCGCAGTAAGAGATGCGCAATGCAAAACTAGGGAATCACCTTAAAGTGTTTGGATTGAACAGGTAGTTTAATTTTTAGTTTAATTTCCAATAAGGGCAGCTGTTGCTGCAGGTTTTTTAATAACTTAGCAATGTCAAATCAACAACGATTTACATGTATCCCTGCATGGGTATTTTATAATATTAACCCGTACATGTATACATTTGCCAAGGAATGCCATCAACACCCTTGAAAGTTCAATTAAATTTCTAACCATAGGTTGTGGTAGGCTCTGGGTGGCTGATGGGCTGTGAAAGACAATGTTCCCACATTGCGCAATGTCCACTAAGGTAAAAACTTGAAATAGTTAATTTCTCCTCCAGCCCTTATTCTGCAGTCAACGTCCTTAAGGGGATCTGCTTAATTTTCATACATGTATTTCATATATTTATCCATTTCTCCTAAAAGCAACTTTTGATTTTAAATACATTCATCACTCTCATGATTAAGACACAAATTTTAATTGCAGCTGCACTAAGTTCAAAATGCGAAAAATGCTCATTTCAGTCAAACTGCTTACAAAATACGTTATAATAATCTATGCATTTGGTTTGGTATATGAAAAGTTTTGCTTCTGAATCAAAGGCAACATTCTTGGCCACGCTAGGTGAAAAGATCAGCTGAGCCGTTCCAAATTGAAACAGGTGTTCCTAATTGATTCAGACGCCAAACTTTTCATGTACTTAATTCAATGTATTAGGTTTGGCTCTTAATGTTTGGCGTCTGAACGCGGCCTTATTGTATTAGCCTGCACAGCATGGTGGTTTTGTTTGGGCGCGCAAACAAGCCTAGGAGGGCAACCGTGGGCAAGGGTGGTAAAACTGTGAATCGTGCGCTGGACAAAACTGCCATGTTATGCAGGCTAATATTATATAAATAATCACTTCAAAACAGGGGACAAAGTATTTATTTTATTTACATGTAGACATTGAACCGCAACATATATACATGATTATATTGAAATCCATTGGTACATTTTTTTCTTTAATAGGTGGACTGTACAAAAGAGACTCCACTCTGTGCAAAACAAAATATTCGAGCATATCCAACGTAAGTTGTAAGAAACACTTAATGTAACTCTCCAGAAAGCTCTGCGTGCGAGACAGATGTGTAAAACATGTTAAAGCTTGTGTTAGCCCTCTCAAAGGAAACCCAAGGCTGGCCTGTATAATGTAAGGAGTGTTTTAATATTATTTGCTGTTGTTTATTTCTTTTCAAAGGTTAAAGCTGTATTATGATCAAGGTGAAATCAAGAGATATAATGGCAAAAGACGTATGAATGATCTTAAAGCTCTTGTTGACAAATTTGCTGGGACATCTGAGGTATATTATCTACTTACATTTAACTTGTGAATTATACCCCGTGACTTCCTAACTTCATTCCCTTCAGTGAATGTTAACTGTTTTTTCTGACATAACTCTTAGACTCAACTCCTAGACCACATTATGGAGACATCGTGGCTGAGTGGTTAGAGCGCTGTACTTGTAATCCATAGGCCTCGTGTTCAAGTCCCGCCCTGACTGCTAGCTGGATTTGTTCACGGTAGTCCCGAGTTCAAATCCTTGGCTATATGCTTGTAAAATAGCCAACTGATTTGCCGCCAGCCAGTTGTAATTTTTAACCTTGTTATGTTCCACTTGAATTTGTTTTTTTCATTATTCCTGAAAAGCCCCATAAGGAGCGAGAGGATAATTAGGTATTTTATTTAATATCCATTTGTTATTATTTTGTCATTCTAACTTGTAAATCTCTGTACGCAATGCTATGGCATTTCCATTCAAATGATTAAGCTCTTTGGTAGAGATCTTGCATTGTACTAGTAACTTCTTAGAATTTTACTGATTCTTTTTGCTCACTGTTAAGAGTGAAAGGGTTACCCTTTAAGCCCTCATAGTGACCAGCATCAAATTTCTCCAAAACAGTATCATCGCCAAATTCAAATGTACAGGTAAAGAGAATGAATGAAATGATCAGCACTGATAAAAAATGTCTTGATATTTGAACAGTACAATAAGTATCATATGGAGAACATTGAGGAGAATATACATGTTGATATCAAGGCTGAGAGGGGTAAAGGAAATTAGTAAAATCCAACTACTGGTCTATTATCAATGCTGCATTCTGATTGGTTGAGCTACTAATAGGTTTTTTGGCGGCAAAAAGGGATTAAAGTCTAGCTTTAACTGGCTAAAGTTGTTTTGTCTTGATATTTTTGACCAACTAGTTGTATTTTACTAAAACAATTTATTAGCTATTTATTATTCCTCTCGCCCTCATGGCCTCTGAATCAATAGCACATTTGGCCTTTGGCCTCATGGGCTATTGACTCAGAGCCATAGAGGGCTCGAGGAATAATTGTCAATTAATAGAGACTTAAGGTGGCTCGACTGGATTTTTCTGGGTTGATACCTCCCACGTTTGAGCATTAACTACGTCGGCATGAGTAAAGATATGGAAAAAAGGTTACCACAACTGTATTATATAAAGATGAAAATTTCTTATGATCTGGGTTTTATTGCAATCGGAGTCGCCATGGCAACGTAATGACGCCATTACGTTTTTCATTTATCGTTGTGTTTCTCTGTACCAGGAGTTTTTTGAAGAAATCGCTTAAGGGAGTATGTACCTGCCATAATTGCCTCCATTATGGCAAAGTTTGAAGAAATTCTATGAGAGCGTTTTCGAAATATTCTGAAATGTTGTTTTAAGAACCATCAAAGCAGTGAAATAGCATGCTAGCCGCAAAATTCGCTAATATTTTAAGAAAATGATAATCTTTGGAATCGCAGCTTCATCTCATAGTGGTTTGATTCCATGGAAAACTGCATACAAAAAAAGAGGGGAATTGCTCTGGGCGATCGCGAGTAAGAAGAATTTTATTAACTTGCATTCAGCTGCTTTTGATACAGTTTTTGGAGGCAATTTGGTCCATGCCTAAAAATTTCGCATTTTTCCAAAAACCGCTCGATAAATGTTTTTATAAATTCGACAATCCCGAGATCGATCGTCAAGAAATATTCCCTGCAAGTTTCAAGAACATTGAAAACAGGGAATGCTTTTAAATAGGGCCTCAATCATAACCAATTTTTCCCCCAGATTTTGTGTTTACAAGGGAGCGTCCTCATTATTCACTGGCATTGTTTTCAAGTTTCATATGCACGTGCACAACTAGCAAAAGATATAAATTTGCATCAAAAAGAACTCTCGATTACTTTCCGAAGAAATATCCAGAATATGCTAATAATTGGCTTGTCGTCACATATAGCAGTGAGAGCCGAAACGGTAAACGTCACGGCTCATCGTGTAGGATGCAATACTTGATTATCTTACTCGGGTTATAAGGTCTTATAACATCACAGAAACTCTCACAAAGAGTTGCTCTGATGTTATATAATGTATCACTAATCTCTTTACCCGGTAATTAGCATATCCCGGAGATTTAACCCAGGGTCCTTTTTGATGCAAATTCTATCTTTTTGCTAAATGTGCTCGTGTATATGAAACTTGAAAACAATGCCAGTGAATAATGAGGACGCTCGCTTGTAAATACAAAATCTGGGGGGGAAATTAACTATATTTGAGGCCCTATTTAAAAGTCTTCCCTGTTTTCAATGTTCTTAAAACTTGCAGGGAATATTTCTTGACGATCGATCTCGGGATTGTCAAATTTATAAAAAAATTTATCAGCGGTTTTTGGAAAAATGCGAAATTTTTAGGCATGGACCAAATTACCTCCAAAAACTGTATCAAAAGCATCTGAATGCAAGTTAATAAAATCCTTCTTACGCGCCATCGCCCAGAGCAATTCCCCTCTTTTTTTGTATGCAGTTTTCAATGGAATGGCAAACCACTATTTGATGAAGCCGCGTTCCCAAAGCTTATCATTTTCTCAAAATATTAGCGAATTGTGCGGCTAGCATGCTATTTCACTGTTTTTGTGATTCTTAAAACTGCATTTCAGAATATTTCAAAAACGCTCTCATAGAATTTCTTCAAACTTCGCCATAATGGAGGCAATTATGGCAGGTATGTACTCCCTAAAGCGATTTCCTCAAAAAACTCCTGGTACAGAGAAACACAAAGATAAATGAAAAACGTAATGGCATCATTACGTTGCCATGGCGACTCCGATTGCAATAAAACCCAGATCATAAGAAATTTTCATCTTTATATAATACAGTTGTGGTAACCTTTCTTCCATATCTTTACTCATGCCGACGTAGTTAATGCTCAAACTTGGGTGGTATCCCCCTCAAAAAATCCAGTCGAGCCACCTTAAAGATATGCCATTTCCGTTTAAGTGTACACTGGGTAAATTGTGCCTACCCATTTAGTTGCAGAGGTAGACGTCCTCTTACCCTGGAGAAAGGGCTTGCTTTCTCTCAGAATCGTATCTGATCATGATCTTTTTTATCTACACTTACATCTGTGACAGAAGGAGAGTGAGTCAGCAGACACAGCTGAGGCAGACAATGGCCAACCTATACACACTGACTTCAGAGAACTTTGACAAACATGTGGAAATTGGACTACATTTTATAAAGTTCTATGCGCCATGGTTTGTAGAGTCAAGGATAAAGACTACTTTTGGTTTTGCTTTCCTCTTTGCTTTGCGATCTTTTTGCATCAATTCAGTGTTTTTTTTCTTGACTGTTTTTTTTATCAGGTGTAGCCACTGCCGCAAGCTTGCACCCACGTGGAAGGCATTGGCTGAGTATCACAAGGACAATATGGACATCACAATTGCTAAGGTGCAGTAAAATATCGCATTTATGTCTATTTATTTATTTTATAAATATGTTATAATTCACAAAGGTTTCCCACCACTATGAATGTGCAAAATGAAAATTAAAAAATAATAATAAAATAAAATGATGTATAAAATCAATGAGGGAGATCTTTAAAAAAATTAGTAACAGGAGATTTAAATGCGTCCACGGAAGGCTGATCTAATAAAAAGGAAGGTTAAGTGTTCTGTTACAGAACAGGGATTAGAAGGCGGGGAATTGAACTGCTAGAAAGTTTTTTAGTGTTTTTTTCCTATGAAAGTATCCTGGAATCAGGATTATAATAGCAGAGTATCTTTGGCCCTGGCTCTCAGTGATGTACCGGTCACCTCATGTTTTTTTTTGTGGTTTTTTGCGATCTGCTTTCTTGGTTTATTATTTTTCATTTCTTACTTCAACTTTTTGCATAATCACTCATAATTAGCTGACAGGTCGCTAGATATTCTACCAATTTCTTCTTTTTATCACCATAAGAAATACAAAGAGCAATCAAAAGGGAGAAGGCATAGTTTGAAGGGTAATTAATTACAGCTGTATATGATTGGTTAATCGTATTTCATTTTCCTTTTACTTCTAGGTAAGTTGGTTTCCAGTCTTTTCCAATCGAGTATCGTGAAACGCACTCGAAGTAATTACTGTGGGCTGCCAATACTAACGAGCGCAGACATTCAAATGAATCAGTCAAATTCAAGATAGATAGCCCTTGCCAAGCGCGGGAAAACGATTATCAGCAAGTTATGTATTTTTATGAATTCTGATTGGCTGAGAAAGGGGCGTAGGAGTTTATTTAGCCAATCAAAACGAGTAGCAACGCAAACTGTGCACACGTTTAACCGCTTTACAGTGTTTTTTTTTAATTTATTTTTTTCTTGTATTCTTCTTTCTTACAGATTGATTGCACAACTGAAGGGAAAAAGTGCACAGAGCATAAGATTCATGCGTTTCCTTCACTTAAACTGTTTAAAGATGGCAGAGAGGTTTGTTGTGGCCTACGCGTGCTCTAGTCTATAGCTTTCTGTCGAAAAGAGCGATATTTTCATTCGCTCTGACGAAAGGCTAGTGGTCGAACCTAGGCTTTCATTTTTATGCTATTGCTTCACCTGAATGCTCCATTTTTTGCACTAAAATGCTCGATCTCCCTAAAAAGTTTCCATAAGGCTCGGATAATTCTCATCATAAAGACGTTAGACTGCAAGCAGTCTCTCTTTTTCTTCAGATTTAGTGGGAGCAATGCACGCGCGCGGGAGCGGCCAAGCCGTGAGACGTTCGAAATGAGGGCAGCAGCCCGTGCCTCTCCCGTCTCGCGTCATCAGTCACGCGCGTGGCCATTTGCGTGTCTCGCGTTTTGCTCGACGGACGACAGAAAAAAGAGAGACTATTCGTAGTCTATAAGGACATTAGATGTAAGGTCTGTAAAGTACAAGCGCGGTATTTTTGTTTTAGGTGGACAGCTATGAAGGATCGCGTTCGCTTGACGACCTTAAGAACTACTTGACTCTGAAGATCTCTGAACACAGCCTGTTAAGCAGTGCAACGACGGAGAATAGCGAAACAGCTGAGGAGATACCTTCTGATGAACTAGACTTGCAGGTATACATGCAGACGTGTCTAAGGGTATGTTCACACTGTAATCGATACTCTTGCGCCAGCACGAAAACCGTACCGGATAGTGAAGTGAAGCGTCACGTATTGGATAAGTTGTGTGCCACACTTTGGTGCTGTGTGAAAAGGTACTCGGACATTGCCGAAGTAGGAGCGAGAACTGGAATCCACTGAGACGGAAGTAAATATTCAGGTTGAAGATTTGGATCTAGGACACCAAATCCTCACGGCCAACTGCTCCGGCTTAACCCTTTAAACCCTGAGAGTGATCAGCATCAAATTTCTCCTTGTAATATCAATGCTTTGTAAAACAGAGTGGTCATGAGAATTACGGACATGACCACACAAGATGAGTCTGATTGATATTTTATCAACTTCTCCCCACTACTTCTATGGTAGATGAATAGGGGCGACAAATGAGAATTTAATTTTGATCTTAGGGTTTAAAGGGTTAAATGCGATGTATTTGAACGACCTCTTCCAGTTCCGGGCTGTTTCTGAGTATTAGTTGCGGTATGGTGTGGACATAGCCTAACTTAAAAAGTTTTATAATTTCAATCATCAATAGCCTTACCATTTAAGAAAGTCTTTCGCTCATTATGCTCTGAGTTTATAGCGGAGAAAATGAATATCTTAGCTTCCGTTGGGATTCGATTCGAACACCTCCCATATTCCGGTCGGTCCCTCGAATCACTGAGCCTGCTACAGGATCATAGAAAGCTAAGCTGTGTACCTTTTTCATGTACGACGCATGTCCTGTGACACTCTGTATGCTGTTGGTATCATCTGTGTCGAATGTGTCCTGTATGCTCCGTGAATAAGCGACAAAAATAAAATGTTTGTTAAGTTCATCATGCTTCATTTCAGATCAAACCATTTCAGCTCACCGACAGTAATTTTGATGCCATGATCAGTTTTGGTACAACATTTGTCAAGTTTTACGCTCCTTGGTAAGTCTGTTTTACTAGTGGTAACCCTGTTTTGCTTGTCTCTTCGTAAACTTGTTTTGCTTGCTGCTTCCTTTTAAGAACGTCCCCAATCTTTAAATCCAATTTAAAATATATTCTTAACTTTCTTTGGACTTTTTTACGGAAGAATTTCTACTACTTTTATTGTAAACGAAATGCTTACAACGTCACCCATTTTTGTTGTTGTTGTCATGGTTACAGATGCTGACACTGCCGAGAACTTGCACCTGTTTGGGACCAGCTTGCTAACAAATGCGCAGATAGTTCGTCTGGACCAAGAATTGCTAAGGTTTGTAATTAATTGTTAGAACGGGGTTTAAGAAGAGTATAAAGGCTGGTAGCTGTACAAAAGGAATCTTAACTCGCGCTCAGGGCACATGAAAACGGACAGTTTTTCTTCAGTTTGATCTACCGTCTACGCGTCACCGGTGAAAAACACATCGGAAATTCATCTTTGTACCAATGCTACCTCCAGAGGGAAGATTTTTGACAGCGCCGTAATAGGGAGCTTTGTCAATGACGACGGCGACGGTAGCGAAAACGGCACTATTTAAAAGACTTTAGTGTTGGTCGCGATTTTTTCGACTGGTGTAAAATCTCAGTCGAATGTAGGTGAATTTCCCTGGAATTGAATTCTTGGGGACCGCCACCAAGTTTAGAGGGAGAAAGAGAAATTTGTAGTCTAGTCGGTTTTTACGTCCGCCACGAAACGTCACTTGAGGGAATTTCACGTCGCAGTCGTGCAGTGACGGCATAGAAATGTACAAAAAAGTGTGCTGCACGTACAGAGTTGTTGTTTTTCTAATACAAACCTATTTTTTTTTGCCGTTCTCGTTGCCGTCGCCGGCTTTTGAGAATAATAACGTCACGGACAGAGGGACCATTATATGGGCATGCACCGATAAGGTGGTATTGTTGTCAGTAACTATGGTGTTTTCGTGTGGACGGGCAAAAGCGATTCAAAAACGCAACGTGTAGACGTCGATTTACTATTTTTTTTGAAAACTGAGAAAAAATCTCCGTTTTCAAGCAAAAACTGATATGTCTGAGCATGGCCTCAAATTCATTTTGAATCATAAATCATATGCTCACATTAGAAACGTCAAAAAGCCAGCTTTTGAATATCTCTTACCTGTGCCAGGCTCTTAGATAGTAGGGAGGTCGCTTAGGTGGCAAGATTTGCGGGGGAGTGCTGTTGTTTTTTGGTGGTGGAGCCGTGAGAAGTTTGGGGGAAAAGCGGAGAAAGTACCCCGCACATAACGATCCGGTCAGTTACGCAGGCTAAGGCCGAGCGAAAATAGATCGCGCGTGATCTAGGGAATGAGAGCGGTGTTTTGTCTTGCCCGCGCGTTTTTCCCTTCAGTTTTCACCATCTCTGCACATTACTGTCTTGGGGCCTGGAACAGGCCAGATTCTCTTATGGTAGAAAATTTACTCTATCAGCTCAGTTGATAAAACCGTATTTGGTAATTGATCCTCAATCACGATTTTCATGTGAAAAGGAGCGAAAAAACAAGCTTGTTTACACTGAAAATGGCAAGCGACAGATGGGATGCGTAATTAACAGCGGGTTCTCACACAACAATCACAGTCTGAAATGTTATCCGGGTCTTCGCTCCGCCCCTCAGCGGGTCTCTCTCGCCTTGCCGCCCGTTGGGGTTGAGGCGAAGTGACGGATGACAGTTCAGACTAACGATCATACAACGCGGGAAGTAATAGAGCGTTTTCACATGACGTCATGGAGGCCATTTTGGTGTTCCAAAACAATGAAACGGCGGCCATGTTGGTGTTCCAAACAAATCCTGTAGGAGTTGGACTCTGTTCTTATGCAGGTGGTGTGCGTCACGAGATTCGACCAATCAGAATGCGTTATTTGTGGAGTGATTTTCGCGCTGGGGAAGAGCCGTTTTCAGAGGTGTATATGGTGAAATTTTCGATTTATTCCAAGCTTGTGTAGGTAATTTCCACACAAGGCTATACCGCCGTGGAAAGTTGTTGGAACACTTTACCTTGATGGTAGTTAAGTTACTTTTAAATATTTTGCTTTCTTTAGCGTTTGTGACAAGTTTGAATTGCTCGGTCATGTGCACGCCGCCATGATGATTCGAGTCTTGTTTTTGCCGTCCTTCTTGGATTCATTGCTGGTTACTGTTAGCGGTTTTATCGGATTATTTTGGTCATCTTGTTACTTCAGCCTTTCTTCTTTGCAAATTTCGGGGTCTACCCGGGTCTACCCCTGTTAGTTTTCCCATTATGGGCCGTTGAAAGTGTCTTGGAATTAAGAGATCCTCTCAGCCAAGTAGCACAACTCCCTGGAAACGGGCCGGGAGAAAACATACCGAAGCGGAAGCCCACGTGAAGCGAGTAGCACCAAATCCAGAAAGAGTTTGTTCCATTTTAAACCAGAAAAGGTAAATAAGTTTGAATATTGTAATAACCTTTGAAAACCAAACATTTTTCATGACCCAGTGCGGAAACTGAAAGGGTGACTTGCAGTGTGCGCTATGTGTATGCAAATCTTTATGTAAGCTTTAGGCGAGGGAATAAATTGGTATAAATCTCCACCAAAACACAAGACCATTGTCAAAGATCTGGACAACATCATACAGGATTTTAAAACTGTGAGGTTAGGTTTAGAACAAAATCGATACACTGCGCTCACTTCAATGAACGCACAGAGAAGATCGTGGTTTATTTCCGCGGCTGAGGCCTCGGTGACGGAAATTCCCATTGTGCTGTAGCAGTTCGGCTCTTTCGGTCTGTTTTCCCCTTGCCTGATAGAAAATTTATTTGCGCATAAGGATTACAAACGGGCAATGTTTGCAAAATAATATAAACTTGTCGATGAAAATAAATTGTTGTGAGAGACGATTTCTCACCTTGCTGTTTGCTCGCGCTCCCCCTCCTTGCCGGTAACAAAGTAAATCCAGGTGTGAACTACAGATCTCTTTCACTCCGAGATAAACGTATACATATAAACAAAACAGTACATAAAATCTTCTGAGAAGCAGGAAATCGCCGCTTAAAATCGACAAGATCGACCAACGATCGTCTCCGAATCACGATAAACTCATTGAAATTGCCTTATGAAGCCAATAGCAAGCATTATGAGATCTTGAAAATCCTCCAAATGGCTCTCTTCCGTAATGTTTTTCAGAAAAGGACAGAAAAGGAAGCAGTGTTTTGATCCCTGGGTTTGATTTATCTCTCTCAGAGATGCGAACTCGACCGTGTCACGATTGAAATAAAGCACAGCAACAATTTTACCCATGAACCTTTGTGGGTCGTGACGCACACCGTCTGGTTCTTATGTAAACACTTTCTTTTGTTCCAATAAATTTGCATAGTCAGGGGCACCCAACGGCAATTTTCGGGAAAATATCTGTTCGGAAGACGATTTGAGATCTAGAATTTTCGGAGCATTTGTTGTAAAATTTCTTGTTTGCCTGCCTCTCCTAGAATTTTCGAACATCTACAAAATGGTATAATTACCCATTTTTAACGGATTTTGACCCTAAAAAAAGGCCACCTAGAATTTTCGGGAGCCTTTTCCTGGCTAAAATTTTCGAGAAGGTAAGTTTTTATCCCTATAATTTTCGGATCACTAGACTTTCAGCTAGGAAATCTGAACAGATGAAAAGTTTTTAGGGGATAAAAATATGCCTATATCTACCGTTTGAATACTAAAATACGTTCAACAATGCTCTGTTAAGTGGTTTTGAACTATATCCTCGTTGGGTGCCCCTGCATAGTCACATCATCATCTCTTCCGCTTGCCATAAACGTGATGCTTAAAACTTAACATTTCACAGAAAGAAATACCTTCCTTTTTCCAGGTTGATTGCACTACGGAGGAGGAGCTTTGCAGCAGTATGGGAGTACGTTTCTTTCTTGTTTTTTAGTCGAATAGGAATATACAGTATTAGCTTATTACTTTGACGCAAATTGACATTATTCTCCATTCAACGCTGATGGAACGTTTCCTAGTTTAGTTTTAAAATAAGTAAATAAATAAATAAATAAATAAATAGATAACACATCGAAGCAAATTAAAAACAAAATCAGCTTCACGTATCTAAATTTGCATGTCTAGCCTCTCCCCATGTAACAGAATCCGGATTCCGGAATCGGGGAAATTTTTTCTTGTGGAAACGTGAATCCTGGGCTTTGGAATCCGGGATCCCAATAACGATTCAGCGTGCAAAGAAAGTCTAGTGGATTTTTCTATCGGTCTAGTGATTTCTGTTCTAAACTTGCCCGATGGGCAAGTGCTGTTTTTTGGGGAAATTCAAATTACAGAAGGATTGTAATCAATCCTGCTAATCAAAAAGGGTTTTGGGGCTAGTTAAAATGACTTGTGGGCTAGTACATGCTAGCTACATCTTGCCCGAATGGCAGGCTATAAAACTGACTTTCTTTGCACCCTGCGATTAGAATCCGGAATCCAAGTTCCACTGACAAAGAATCCGGAATCCCGTACCTGGAATCGGGAATCCGGAGTCCAGGGCGTGGAATCCAGAATCCACGACTCTCTTGGATTCCCTTACTAGTCTATAAGGTAATAAAATTATTTCACTCGAATCTAGGTCTACATGCAGCAGTTCACGACTTGGACATTCCCTGGATTATAATTAAATGCATTTCAGACTACAAAGATGGCAGAAAATCCGGTACAGATTGCTGGAAAACGTTCGTGAGTTTAATGGCCGCCTCTCTCACCGTTCATATCCTCAGTGATCCGATGGTTTTTCGAGACTGGCCCCACTATACTGAGACAAGTGAGTACTACAACAAACTACCCGCGACTGGACTATGTCACTTGTTTTTACCCCTTTAATTTGTCAGTGCAAAAAGCAAGTTGAATAAATCTGTTTATCTGATTACATGGTCAAATAAAGAAATAAATATATAAAACAGCAACATCAAAACGGAAGAAAAACAAAAGAAAAGAAAAAAAGAAAAAAGAAAAATTGTTCTCCAATGATC